CCTTGTTATGATATGTATCGCAACGTAACGTCATGTAATATAGCAATATTACAATACGTACATACATGCACATGTACACCCATGTATACAATAAGTAACCTAACGTAACGTAACGTAACGCAACGCAACGCAACGAGACGAAACGTAAGGTAATGTAATGTAATATAACAATAATACAATACATTCATACATGCACATGGACACACATGCGTTACGTATCGTAACGCATCGCATCGTATCGCAACGCAACACAACGTAACGTAACGCAATGTAATGTAACAATTATACGTTTAATCAACAACAATATTCAAAGAAATACAAGAGAATTATATTTATATATATATATAATTACGTACCGTTGATCGTTGGTAAATGTTCCGAAGGCTCCAGGACCGCTAACTCGGCGCTGTGTGTGTTTAACGTGCATTTTCTGTTACAAGAGCCCAGCGAACGCAGCTCCTCTGCATGGAAACGGTGAAATTTTGTATTTTTACTTTCGCTCTTCGTTAGTTTGTAATACCGTTATGCCACGGCTGCTACTCCTTCTTGCTGCCTCTAGCCCAGATTTAATCGCGCGCGCTCACACACTCTCACACACACACCAGCCACACACACACGCACGCAAGCACACTCTGCTGCTGCTGAATTTTTTATGCTGCTACTGTCGCTGCTGCTGCTGTTGTTGATGTAGTTGTTGTTGTAGCTGTTGTTATTGCCATAGAGCACAACCCGTTAGGCCTGTCGCAATTCTCGACTTTATCATGGTGTATTTGCTGCATATGGTAATCGAGGTTGTGTCTCTGTGTCTGTGTTTGTGTCAATCTCTGAATGTGTGTGTATATTTTGTTTATGTGTATAGTCTGTCTCTCTCTCTCTTTCTCTTACTTTGCCGTTTTCTTTCTTGTGAGTGTGTGTGTGAGTGTGGGCGCAAGCTGCGTTTCGATTTTTGAGAATTAACTAATACGAATACAAGTACACGACATATACGAACACATAAACAAAAATAATTGCTTTTCGTTGTTGCTTAGATAACTTCTTTTTTCTCTCTAACTCTCTCACTCTCTCTGCCGTTCTATCTGTCTGTCTGTCTCTGTCTATCTCACTCACAGCGGCCTCATGCTGAACATTTTTAGCGGCTTTTTATTCTTCTTATTGTTTTACTATTTCACTTGCTAAACTCTGTTTTTTGTTTCTCTGAGTGTGGGTGCGTGTGTTTTTGAGTGTGTGCGTGTCTGTCTTTGGTGGGTTATAGTTGGAGGTGTTAAGTAACGTAGGTTGACTGTCTAAAATGTAGTTACTAAATTAGTTAACAGCACTAGTTATATTGCTTATGATTCTGGTTGGGTTTGGTTTCGCTTTCGCTTTCGCTTTTGCTTTCGAGTTCTAGGTTGAGTTTAGTTGGGCGCTCGCTAAAGTTGAGTTTGAGGTTATGTTTAACGTATAGGTCTACTGAGTATATATATTAATACCATATGTTGCTATTATTTAGGCGCTTATTGACTTATATATATATATATATATAGATATATACATATATGTATATGTACCTACAATATAATATATTTTTTTATGTAGATTTTAGTGTTTTCTCGTGTTCTTTTGTACTTTGGATTATAGACGTCGTTTTATATGTACTCTAAGGGATACCGTTATTATAGTACTTTGTTTGTTCGCTTGTTTGTTGTTTTTAGGTGGAGTTTTTGGTGGCGATGATAGGCGGGGCGGGCGAAACTGAAGGATGGTGGGCAGCAGGCGGAGAGCACACACAGTTATTTATTATATTTGTTTTCTTTTCGTTTATCGTTTAAGATCGTTAAATATACATATGTTTAGAATATCACAAAGAACGGCTATAATAAATTTACTATTTAGCATCACTTTTTCTAGGCCACGGCAAAAGATTACAAATTGAATTTCTAGCTGCTTCGATACGGCTCCTTTTTGGTTTTTGGTCTCGTCTTCCTTTTCGTTTTCAAAGTTCAATGAACGCAACGAATTAGTTCGCTAATGGCTTGTTGGAAATTGTTGTGAGTTAAGTTAAGGCGTTATGGTGTTACCGTTATAAATATATATATTTATATATATCTATATATATTTGTGGCTATATTGTGGTCCGGGCTTTTTAGGGTAACCGGGCCGTTTGAGGTTGGCCGGGCGACCGTGGGGCGTGGCGCGGCGCGACGTGGCGTCGCTTGTGCTGAAGTTACGTCAAGGCGCGTAATGCAAGAAACCCAAACACAGGTATATATATATATCTAGATATATATATTTAGATATATCTCTAAATGGTAGCTATAAAAGTTGCACAAGCAGCACGCGAGGCGAATTTGTAGGCGTCCTTGTCGTCCTGCACGTCCCTAATTAGTGCGTTTATTTCGTAATTTCTTTTGCAGTTTGAAGTTTTGTTTGCGGCTTTATAAAAATAAATCCATTTACGCATACATATATATTTAGTTGTATTCTATGCAATTTGTATATATATTTATATATATATGTGTGTGTAGAGAGAGAGGCAACTACTTGGTAGTTTTAGTTTAGTCGTTAAGTGCGATTAATATTATATATATATTTGTATATATATATAATTAATTTGATTTTGCTACATGAAGAAGACGCTTGTTCTACAAACTACGAGGTTTCCTTTAGCTATAGCTCTAGTTATATCAGTTATTTCATTCACTGCTGAACGAGTCGCATAACGTTTTTATATAATTACCATATATATGTATATACGAGTGTGTGTGTTTTTTATAGGTAATAGTTATGTATGTCAGTATATAACGCCTCTATAGATAATTGTATTGTATATAAATTATAGCACTTTTCCTTTATATATATGTATGTTAGTTGTAGCGAGTGTGTTTCTTCCTTGTTGTATATTTTTAAAAGTAATTTGTTCTTGCTAAATTTTGTTAAATATTTATAATTGCTGCGCTTTGCTGTATGTCTGTCTGTGTGTGTGTGTGTATGTGCGTGTGTTTGTTTTTGTGTGTTTGCTCAATTTCTTTGTTGCAGGTACATAGGTTTTTGGTTTTCTTGATTTTTGGTTTTTCTTAGTTTGCTTTTAGGCGTTTCCGGGGTCGTTGATTAAGTAATGCTGCACTTGAAGTTTGATCTAGTTGTATCTTATATCGTTTGTTTTCGTTTCGTTTCGTTTCGTTTTTCTATTTGATTATGTAATTATGCTTGGTCTTTACTCTTATATTGAACTGTGTTACATGCCATTTTCGCTCAGTTTAGCTGCGACGTTTTATGGGTGTTTAAAAAATTTGGCAAAAAGAAGGACGTAAGTAAGAGGTAGTTCGTCATCCACCCACTCATACATATATACATGCAAATATATACATATTCAGATATATATGTATGTATATAACTAACACTACAAGCACACACATACAGTGCTCGCGCGTGTGTGTATTTATTGAATGAGACGATTAGCTTTAGTTAAATGTTAAACAAATTCTTTACGCAACACAATTTGACTCTATCACACACACACGCGCGCTGATACACATGCACAGAAACCGCAAGCGAATCATATGAAGAAAATGGAACAGAAGCAGAAAGTGCACGTTAAATCAATGCTTCTTTTGACCTCTATTACATTTTCGTTCGTCTTCGCTTGCGCCTTCGCTTTTCATGTCTCCTTCGTCTCTTGCTGGTGCTGCTGCTGCTACCTGGAACTTTTTTCTTTTCTTCTTCTTTTTCTTTTTCGTTCTCTTCTTCTTAGCAATGTCCCGTGTTACGGCACAGTTGGGCAGCGTGTTTCGATTTGCTTGTTAAATGTTGAAGTACATTTCTTAGCGCGTTTTCATTCACGTCTGCTGTGTTATCACAATGCTGCTTGAATCAATTGATTTATAACAAATTATGAATGTGTGTGAGTGGCGCTTCGTTTAGTTTTGCTCACAGCAGCGTTTCACTTATTATATGTGTACTTTCTACTGAAAATCGCTTTACATAACGGTACTCTGGTACTCTGTTACTCGCTGCTGTGCTGTGCGAAACACGACACGAACGAACTCAGCGCGACAAGTGAATCTTCGCCTAGCACTGACGTGCGCCGTGAGCCTGTGAAATTTCGCTGAAAATCGATAAGGACACACACGGACCTCACACACACACACACCCACACGCGCACACACACAGCCAGCGCAAATGCAAAAGCAGCGCAAAGTCACCAAAACTAAAAAGCACAATACACCGAAAACGAGAGCGTTCGCTGCCAGTGAAAGTGCACATGTCCTGACCGTGCTGCTACACTTATGGCCTGCAATAATAGGTACAGTGCGAAAACGAGAGCATTTACAGTCACTTTTTTATACGATGAATTTGTTGAAGCCAATCGAATAAAATATTTATAATATTCATTGATTAAATAATTCATTGAATAATAATTAAAATTATTATTTAAATATGTATTAGTTTTTATATAATATTATTTATATATATATTGTGTATACGCACTAGCAGACATATTTTCTTACTAGTATTAAAAGATTTTATGTAAATATTACGTATACGCAATTCTCACACTTGCATTTTCTTACTAGATTTCACAGAGTACTCAATTATTGGCCACCAGTGTATACGCACTTATAAGCGTCATCTAAGTTAAAGCTGAGAACGTGAGCATGCGAGTGCGCATTTGTTTGGCAAGCTTTGCTTTTGCTCAAAGTCCTTGCGCTCACACTGGCTGGCATCGGCGTCGTCGTCATTCTGTGACGTTTGCTCAAGCAAAAACAACACAAATAACCGAAAGCCGAACAAAATACCGAGCGATTGACCCGAACACGCACGAAAATGCGGCGCTTGGCTGCCCGCTTTGCTTTTGTGTTTTCGCTGTGAATGAAAGTTCGAAAGCATCAGCTGGTAGGGCTTTAACAAATTCTCAATTGTGCTCAACGCAACCCCCCCTTGCTCTCTTCCTCTCATCATTCTCCGGCAACAACGGCAACGGCCAAGTAAACAAATACATGTGCACAACGCGGCGCGCACATGTTCAGCTGTAGCTGTAAGGTCAGAGCAGAGCGTGTCCTTACTGTGCGTGCTGGCAGTATGCATACGCGTGCATTTATTGCATGTATTGTATATGGATAACAAACAATGTTAAAGCTATGTACAAAAGGCAGGTATTTTGTGACTTTGTGGCGCTGGCTGAGCCTCTTACGTTAAAGTTGCCAAAGAAGAAGGTCCTCGGCAATTTGAGCGAGGGCAGCGCCTGACATTGGCCGGCGAACCAGCGGCGCGTGTTTCCATCGCTGTCGCGAGCCACAATGCAAATCTCAGCGCCGACCAGTTTCGCCTCGCCATGGGACTGCAGTTCGGAAACGGGTATTTCCGCCATGCGCTCATTGTAGGCATAGTCCGCCTGGTGCAACACCTCGTTGCTGCTGCTTCGTATGTAAACATTGAAGTCCGCCACGTCTGCTATGGCCGAGACAAACCAGCGTAGCGTCAAGTTGCCGGCCTTATTGCTAGAATCCAAAAACAAAAAACGGGAAATGTAGCTACAGCTGACGCTTTGTAAACATATATATAACCTACGTTTGGACCTCGCGAAAGCGAACATCGGTCAGCTGCTTGTACTCATTGCCAGCATAGAGATCCAACTCGTCCTCTCTGCAATTTAAGTACTCATCTTCCATGTTCAACAGATGCTGATCCTTGGCCAAGCTGGGCGTCTGGCAAAGCACGTTGCTCAAGTCCTCGCTAGGCGTGGTCTGTTGCAGCATAAAATGCTTCAATGGTCGCATGTTACAGCCGCAATACAGCGGATTGTTGGCTAACAAGACTTGGCTGCCATTGGTCATGGTGGCCACCAGCGTGGCGGGTATATCCTCTAGGTTATTGTTCCTCAGGTCAACGTACTTTAGGGACACCGTCTTGACCACATTGGCAAAGGGCAAATGATAGATTTGATTGTGCGATATGTCCAGGCTGCTCAGATTCTTGGGAAGATCGAAAATATGCTCCTCGGACATCAGATTGGACAACTCGTTGTGGGACAAGTCCAGCGATTGAAGCGATGTAAAGTTCGATATAACACCGCGACGCAGCTCGTTGATTTGGTTGTTGGACACGTTCAATTTGAGTAGCTTCTTCGTGCCAAAGGTTATGTCATAGGTAAGAACGGGCATTTGATTGTAGCTCAGATCCAGGTACTTTAAATTGTAGGGTATATACTGATGGGATGGAAAGGTTTTCTTGGTCACAAAACTAATGCGATTGTGACTCAAATTAAGTGTCTCCAGACTAAGCAAATCGTCCAGCACACCGTGCGTCTTATTGTCCAGCTTAGAGAGGGCATTGTGGGACAGGTCGAGCGTGCGAAGCGAGGGCAATCCAATGAATATATCATTTGGCAGTTGTCTAAGGCCATTGCTTGACAGATTCAGTGTGAGCAACTGGAGCAGCCCCTCGAACGCCCGTTTGCTATGTAACCGAATTATTCATTTCAATGCATCTGTTTGACTGCAGTGTCAAGTCGAAACACTTACCTAATATCTGAGACCTGATTGCCGTAAAGGTTGAGTTCAAACAGAACTGGCAGCTTGCCAAATGCACTTCGCTCCAGCACGCTAATGTTGTTATTCTGCAAATAAATTATTAAGAGTTTTCAGACAAACTTTGCTGATGATATAAATAACTAATTAAGCGTAAATGGTTATCAACTTGGTAGTTAAATACTTAAAATGTAATCATGCTAAAACTAGTTTATAGCCTACCTATATGAATAGAATTCTTAAATAAGAAGCTATCATCAGATGAATCATGCTATAAACCAGTTCTAGACAACTGAAAGAGTTATGAATGCGTGACAACAAAATACGAAAGGAAATCGAGCTAAGAATCATTAAACAAAATTATATGTAAATTACTCGAATGTCTCTCTAATGCCATAGAATACTTAAGAATAACTTAAAATGTAAATACTGTAATTAGAATCGCATAAACACTCACTTCCAAGTATAGATATTGTAGCGTTGACATCACAGACACCGCCTCCAATGGAGGCTTGCTGATGCCATTTGACTGCAGCAGTAGGCGCTGCACGACCAGCAAGCCCGTAAAGCTCTGTCCATCCAAACTGTCGCCCAGCTGATTGTGACTGAGATCCAAATATATTAAAGAATTCATAACTGGCCAGGTGCCTGCTGGTATCGAGCTTATGTTGTTGTGGCTCAAATGTAACTCATTCAAAGAGATGGGCAATTGGAATAGCTTTTCCAAGCTATTATTGTTCAAATACAATTGCCGCATGCTTGTCAGCTTAGCCAACGATCCGCGCACAATATTGACGAGCTTGTTGTGGCTCAAGTCCATCTCCAGCAATGTTGGCAATGTACCAAATGTCGAGGATTTAATCTCCCGCATGCTGTTGTGACTCAAGTCGATGGAGCGCAGCGAGAAAAGGGTTTGAAATACGCCATTGAATATGAAAGATATGTTGTTATGCGAAACATCGATTGTGTGCAGCTCATATAGTTTGGGGAAACAGTTTTTGGGTATTTCCGTAATGTTATTGTGTGAGGCATTCAAGACGCGCAGTCCAGACATATTTTGAATAGGTATCTGCAAAGGAAAGCGTTCAGATATAACGATAAAGGTACCATTCAAAGTTTTCCTACATGAGCCAAATTTGTAAAGCCATTATAGCTGAGTTGGAACTCCGTAGCGAAGGTGGTTTCATCGAAACTACGGCGCGAAAAGTTGACAAGACGATTGTGTGAGAGATCGAGTTTTGTTATATTAACGCAATTCTCGAAGGCAGCAGTTTCAATCAACTCCAGGGCATTGTGCGACACATTGATGACGGCCTGGTAAATGTCCTTAAACGAGTTCTTCTCAATTTTCGTTATATTGTTCTCAGCCAAGTCCAGCAGCTATAAAAATAATGATTAATAAAAATCGAATATCTTTCTTGTGTTTCACGTACCTCAACATAATTCATTTGCGTAAACATTTGATATTCAATCTTCTTCAGCTTGTTGCGCGCCAGATCAATCGTGCCGATGCGTGCCACAGAGCCAAATGTGCCACGTCCCACATCTGTGATGGCGTTGTCGCTCAAAAAGAGACGACGCAGAAATCGCATTCCTCGAAAGCTGTTTGCATCCAGTTTTCCAATCTTGTTGTGTGATAGATTGAGAACTTTGAGCACCGAGTTGCGAGCAAAGGTGCCACGGCTGAGTTCGCTTAGGGCATTGTGCGAGACATTGCACCAGCCAAGCTTTGTTAGATCCGAAATGTGTTGTGCCTCCAGTTTCTTGACTTTATTATGGCTTATGTCAAGCAATTCCAGTTCACGCAGATTCTTAAATTGGTTTCGCTTCAGATTCTCTAGCTGATTTCCATGCAAATCCAATGTTTTCAGTTTCCGCAGCGGCTGGAACGTCTCCACGGGCAGATCACTCAACAGGCCATTTGTTAATCGCATAATTTCGAGCTTGTTGGTAATTTCTTGGCCGAAAAACAGATCTTTGGGCAGTTGCTCAAACGCATGTCCATCGATTACCAATTCTCGGGTCTTGCCCAATATCTGCAGCATAAATATTAAAAATTATTTGGATAAGAAAATTATCTATTCTGAAGTAACTTACGCCAAATCCCAACTGCCCAACTTGACTTAGATTCGTACGCAGCAAATTGACTTTCTCTAATGTATTGTTCATGCCATAAAATACATAATCCTCAATGGTGGCAAGTGGCGTCTCCTCAATGGTCAAAACGCGCGCTTTAATATGCGCGAAAAGCGGCCCGAATAGGCGCACTAGAAGTATAATAAATTTAATAAATATACTATGCTATGCTACATATAACAACAACGCACCAAAGTATCCCTTATATATGGTCAGCTCCTCCACTGGCAGCTGCAGAGAAGCCAAGTTCTGCAGGGCCACCGAGAGCGTGGCCAAGTTCGTATTTTCGCAACGAACAAAAATGCCAGCATCGCTGCCGTTTACACACAGACAGGGATATAGAACTTGTGGTCTGTGGATTGAATAACAATTTAATTAACTTGCTCTTAATCAGTTTATAGCTGCATGAGAACTCACTTCTTGGGACATTTGAATTTGGGCTCACCATAAACGTATTCGCTGCTGACTAATGCAAATAACTGCAGCAGTAACAAAACGATGGGGCGCAAGCGTAACTGAATCATGATCAAGTTATAACTTGTTTATTTACGTTTAATGTGTGTGTGTGCGTGGGTCTCTTTGTGGCTGTCGTCATTGATTCAGTTTGGCCATGGTAAAAGAAAAGAGTTCGTTGCTTAAGTCTATTGTTTCTTCGTCGACACAGAATAGTCTTTTGCAGCTATTTCCCATCCGTGTGTACCTAAAACAAACTTTATTTGTTAAACAAATTCTTATTCGGCATTAACAGTTTTCAACTTTTACTTTTAAGCTGCGCTCGCGCAACAGGTTCCGCTTGTCTATCTCTCAGTTTTGTTACTGATTTGCCATTGGTTGAAAGCTACCATTGTTGTTAATTGGCGTCGAGGCCACTTGCGAATACAGTGCCACGCGCACTGTATATGGGACATGACTTGTCATTGAGAAATAATAAAAAGAATATAACTGCATTAGTTTTAACTTATTCCTTTTATTTTCAATCCTATATACTTTTTGGACGCGCCACCATATTTAAACCAAGTTGGCAGTGCTGTGCTTGCCACTGTGTCGGCGAAGATATCGATATACCAACCATGCAACTCTATTCAGACAGCGACAGCGGTGCAAAAGCAAAATCAACGCGCTAAATAAAAATTATTGTCCGGTTTTTAAGTATTTTATTGCACATTTTGACGCGAAAACGTAAGTACTTAGTGCAGTTAATGTATTTGGTAATTTTTTTGTTTGAAAAGCGAGCAAGAATTAGGCTTTTGTAAATTGAAGAAAGTGGACATTGTTCACGTTTTGTTCTTTGACGACAGGGAGAAATACTGACTTCGCCCGATTCAGCCGCCATCGAGCAAACAGCCAATGGCAGCGCGCACTACTCACACACACATAGAATCGAACTGAAAATCTGTATATGTACACGTCTGTTTGCGTGTGTATTGGTGCCCAGGGAGAACGCGAGTTATTTGCTGCCACCCGTTTTATTGGCGGCAAAAAGTGCGTAATTCTAGTTGGAAGACACTGACTAACGAAAACATTTCGTTTATTTACTTAGATTATTTTGATCACAATATGAGCTACGCTGCGGACGTGCTAAATGCTGCTCATCTCGAACTGCACGGCGGTGGTGACGCTGAGCTGCGCCGGCCTTTCGACCCAACTGCCCACGACTTAGATGCCTCTTTCCGCCTGACACGTTTTGCGGACTTAAAAGGTCGTGGTTGCAAGGTGCCACAAGAGGTGCTCTCAAAGCTTGTCTCAGCACTGCAGCAAGACTACTCCGCTCAGGATCAGGAGCCGCAGTTCCTTAACGTGGCCATACCCCGCATTGGCATTGGCCTTGATTGTGCCGTTATACCTCTGCGCCATGGCGGCCTTTGCCTGGTGCAAACTACGGACTTCTTCTATCCCATTGTGGACGATCCCTACATGATGGGAAAGATAGCTTGCGCGAATGTACTCAGCGACTTGTATGCCATGGGCGTAACCGATTGTGACAATATGCTTATGCTATTGGCCGTAAGCACCAAGATGACGGAGAAGGAACGCGATGTGGTCATACCACTGATAATGCGAGGTTTTAAGGACTCAGCCCTGGAGGCGGGCACCACCGTGACCGGCGGCCAGAGCGTTGTTAATCCATGGTGCACCATTGGCGGTGTTGCATCGACCATATGCCAACCAAACGAGTACATAGTGCCGGACAATGCTGTTGTTGGAGATGTTTTAGTGCTGACGAAACCGTTGGGTACTCAAGTTGCTGTGAATGCGCACCAGTGGATCGATCAGCCCGAACGTTGGAACCGCATCAAACTAGTTGTGTCTGAAGAAGATGTGCGTAAGGCATATCATCGTGCCATGAACTCTATGTCGCGCCTGAACCGAGTAGCCGCTCGACTCATGCACAAGTACAACGCACATGGAGCCACCGATATAACCGGCTTTGGCCTGTTGGGCCATGCACAAACCCTGGCCGCTCACCAGAAGAAGGATGTCTCCTTTGTTATTCATAATCTTCCAGTGATTGCCAAAATGGCAGCTGTGGCCAAGGCCTGCGGCAATATGTTCCAACTACTGCAGGGCCATTCTGCGGAAACCTCTGGGGGACTGCTAATCTGCTTGCCCAGGGAACAGGCGGCTGCCTATTGCAAAGACATTGAGAAACAGGAGGGCTACCAGGCCTGGATCATTGGCATTGTGGAGAAGGGCAACAAGACGGCACGTATCATTGACAAACCGCGCGTCATCGAGGTGCCCGCCAAGGACTAGATGTTTTCTCTTATACTAAGTACAGTAAATTTTTAACTGCAAACATGCCCTGAGTTGTAACGCTATTATGAGTGAACTAAGTTACCGTTTTTTTGTAAATGATGAAGATGAAGCTTGACTAATTACATAAACTATAATTTTGATGTTTTATAAAATCCATGGACACTGCTAAGAATCAAACGAATAAATAAAACAAACACTTGACTTCTGTGTTGATTAAACGTTAAGCACCTGCATTCCATTAACAAAATTAGCCGCCAAAGCGAAAAGCTTTTCCTCGACTACGCCGAGCTTTGAGTCGCGCGACCAATCGGGCAGATGGTCGACAGAGTCAAAGGGGATGCTCACGCGCTCATTGAGCACTTGCTGAGCATGATATAGTAGGTTGAGTTCATGGTCCATTACATGAGCGACGATGACGTCACAATTTCAAATGTTTGTATATTAATTCATCGTTCTAAATAAACGAGCTTTTTACTTGAGTTAATTTTAGTACAACATTTTTGGGAATTTTTAATGATAATTAGAACTAATTTAATATGAAAATATGTGAAGCTTGGAATATTTAGCAATTAAAATGCTTCATTTAAATACATATGTATAAAGATAAAAAAACAATAATTAGAATTGTCTTCATTTTCAAATGGCAAGCTTGTCTATGGAAAAAAGCTTTATGAGCAAGAGCGCGAGTGTGAGAGAGCAGCGCATGGTGAGCGCAACCTATAGATCAAGTCAATTGGGGGTCTGATCTGTTTCGATTGTGCTCTGTTCGTGGCAAGTGCAAAATTGTGAAGCCTCAGTACTGCACAAACCAGCGAGGCGCGTACGCGTATTGAAAGCAAAGCTGTTCCGTTACCGTTACGTTTTGTAGTAGACACACGAACACATACCCGAACACAAACACACTAACAATTCAAAAACACATACAAACGAATTTCTAAGACTAACGCGCCCGCGCATTGTAGCAATTTTCTTTAGGCTGAACACTGAACTCGCCGCTGCCATCAACAACAACAACAGCGAAAGCAGCAACAAATACTACAACAACAATAAATACAACGGGTCAAATAGTCTGCACCAATCATTTTGGATTTTTGAAAAGTGCACAGTGAGTGTTTAGTGAATGATATTGCGAATGCACGAATCTTTTTACCGTATGTACATTGGATATCTGTGTATGCATGTGTATGTGTGTGTGTATCTATGGAATCTAGCTATCTCTTGAACTAGCAGACAAGCTCAAAATACAAACTGATGACGGCGACAAACGCACATAGAAACGAGTTTCAGTTTGTTTTTTCTCTACGCTATCCGATGATACTCTCATTTGTTCATAGCGAGTATAGCTTGTATCTATTATCTATTGTATACATACATATATATACAGACTCGAGTTTGGCTGCAAAGAGAAATTCAAATGGTGTTCAATAGAAATACGCATTCAATTGCATCCGCATCCTATGGTTAACTGTATACATGAATTTGAGGATAGTTGGATGATTCATTTCTGGGGCGCACTCGCAGTTTTTGTTTTTTTTTTTTTTGTTGCTTCTGTTTGAATCAAGAACAACAAAAACCGTATTCCGAATTGAAAGCCAAAAAGAACAGTGGCAGTGAACTATTTATAGAATTATTTGTTTTCATACATAAATATGTATGTATGTATGCATGTGTGTACGGTAAAGACAAATAACAGCAATAACAACAAGAGCAAAAGGCGAAAGTCTCGCCGACAATGAAGGCGACGACAACGTAGCCTATTCTTTTTCTTCATTGTACGCTGCTCAAAGCGTAAATTCGGCTAAATACAAAAAGAAAAGAAAAAGTTAAATAAAAGTAGCAAAGGAATAATGAAATAAATAGCACATCAAATTGTTTTTTTTTTTCTTTGTAGATTTGTGTATTCATACATAAAATGTTCAATTTAAATTAGCCAAGTTCAAACGTTGCCCAAAGCGAATGTATACGTATGCATGTGTGTGTGTGTGTGTATTAACTAGATTGAACTGTGCGCTGATGCTGCTGCGTAGGTGGGTAATAATAACATCAACGGCGGCAGCATCGTCACCAGCCACACAAATTGGCAATCCAACACAGGCGATAGAATACAACACACACACATGCATACACACTCATACACACCAATGCATGTTCTACGCCTTTCGCCTACGTTTTCAATTTGATTTTCGGAAATTTGAACAAGAACAACAACAACACCTTCGCTTTGCTCTTTTCGGCCATTTCAAGCTTGTTGTTCGTTTGCTATTTTGTTTATTTTATGTTTGCTTATATACATACATCACACACACACACATGCAAACGTATATGTGTTCACATGTAGATCGCTGGCATTTTTGCGACTTGCTGCTACCCCCTGTTAGCCCCGCCTTTACGTCACGCCCACTCCAATGCCAGACAACACCAGCAACAGCAGCAGCAGCAACATGTTCCCACTTTTTGCCTCTCGTTCCGATTATATGAGATCATTTTGAATTGTACAAAAAGAGTATGCAAAAACAAGCATACGCATTACACGCTTCAACTTGCTCTCTCTCTCTCTCCCTCTCACTTGACCAGTTTTGTTTTTTTTTTTATAAATCAATTTGCCTCGAAGCGCCACTATGAAAAAAACGTGCTCTGTGTGATCCAGGCGTCAATTAGATTTAGCCTTTTATTTATATTATGAACTTTTGCCGTTGTTGCTTCTTGCTTACGTGAGCTTCTTGATTAGCTAAAATGTCTTGACCATATGGTGGCAGACGAAATATCAAGATCAACTTGATGTTCATTTGATTGGATTTGTTGTGATTTGATTAGGCGCCTAGACACTGTGACTTATTTTACTTACGTGATGTATGCATATGTGTGTGTGTGTGTGTGTGTATGTGATTGCCTATGTGTGTATTTGCAGTCAGTCGAATATTATTTGTTTACGACGCGGATGACATCATCTTTGGTCATCCTTGTGTTTGCATCTGCTATTCTCTCACATGCGCCTTATACAAAGTCATTCATTGAAATCTCTTACTCAAGGTTATCGCTAAATCACATAAAAAAAAGCTCATCAACTCTGTAGTCAGACGAATATATGTATGTATACAGGTTTTTGTTTTTTTGAATTGTTTCATTCGACGAAAAAGGAACTAAGGACACGTTAAAAAGTGAAAACCAGTTTGACATTGACTTTGCCAACAGCTCGTTTATCTCTTCTTTATTTTCGTATTTCTGCCAGTTCCGAAAATCAATGCCACAAACATATTTTAGCAAAATTTTGGGATACAAAATCGTATGTATAAAGTTATTTAGGCATATTTATGTCATCAAGTTTTCCTAAGAAATTGTTAATTTAATCAATTTGATTAATTATAGAACATATTAAGCTGGGCATCTGCCTTTTCTACTGTATATATTCGTAAGTTTATTTGGCTAATTTAGTCTGTTTGTGTTGGTTGTGGTGCTATTGACCGATCACCTGTTCAAGTGATGGCCATCTTTACATTGACTCCATTAATGCGCTCCATTAATGCGCCAAAAATATCACCTCAGAATGCGAGCTGGCACCATTTTTGTACATATTGAAATATCTAGTGGGTGTAATATATACAGCATGATTGAGATTCTTATGAACTGCGAATCAACCTGTCAGTCCGAAGGCAGACCGTTTACGTTTACAGTTACACCCACACACTACCTAGAATTTATGACTAAAATACCACTTACTCACAGATATAAAAATACAAAAATTTAAATATTTTGTGTTTATTTTCCTGATGCTTGATGTCATTCCAGCAGAAAAAACAATAATTGAAAATGCAGTACTCGACCAGCTCGGAAAATTACTCATCCTCGATGAGAGATACGCCTTCCAAATGGAACGGACGTGTAAGTCAAAGCTCATAAGATTTAGATCGCTCTTAACTCTCTGCCTCTCTCACGCAGAACGACAAGAATTATGCGTACAAAAAGTCATCGTATCAATATTCAAGCTCTGGCGATAACAATGTATCCTATCAGAGCAAGGGCGCCGATCAGAACATCGATCAGTTGGACGCCTTGCTTGAGGACCTGAAACAAGAACGTCAGCATACGACAAGAGAGCGCGAAATTCTACCCACTGGAACTACCTATAGAACACTGTAAGTCAGTTGATGAGTAGAGCGAATCAGAATATTGATGAACTGATAAGCATTAAAATTTCCTAATACAATTTTTAAAAAATATTAAAAATATCTCATTTTTTGACAGTGAACGTACCGATCCATCGGGCACGATTACCAAGACCACGCGTGTTATCAAGACCACGAAGCATTCTGGTGGCCAGCAGCCCATCAATGATGACGTCGAAACCTTCAATCCAACCGACTATAGCACACTGCAGTCCACGGCCAAGTACTCCAGCTTTCAGGACAACTTAAAGCGTGATGAGTACCAGACCAACGAGAAGCCCTACACGCTCAGTAAGCCGTCGATTCGTTGACCTTTTATATCATTTGCTTAACTTCTCACTCACCTTTCGTCTTAGCCCACTCCCCTGGTGGTCAGTATTCGAGTAAGACTAAAATCTATGAGAGCAATCGTACGATCAACAACAATGTCGAACTGGTGCCAAGCAGCTTGAATACCACGCAGACGTTGACCAGCAATGTCAACATTGACAAGGAGCTGCAGGACATTGCATTGAGCGATGGCATATTGCCAGCACCTGGCACCAAGGTGACCACCACGGTGCGCACTTACACCTATGAGATACCATCTACTGGTCCCGGCAGCGCCACCAGCACCATCAATCGCACCAGCAACAACAACACGCTGAGCAGCAGCTACAAACACCACGAAACGCTGAACTCCAACCAGAATTATACGCAGTTGTCGCCATCGCATGTGCCCCAAACGGTCGTCTATAACACGGAGAGCTACTCGACACTCAACAAGCCCAACGATCGTCCATTGGTGAGCAATCAGTCGTACGAGATTCGCGAGCACAAGGAGACGACCACGCGCGGCTTAAGCCCACAGCCCCGCCAACTGCCGCTGGGACCCGCGGTCAGCCCGAATGGCGTGCCGCCCAACTCTAGCCGCACTGTTATCTACAATATACACAAAACAGATAATGTGAACACGGTGAACGATTTGCGTTATCCGCACAGTCCGGCCCATAGTCCCAACTATGGCTCGCCACACAGTCCTGGCCAGCCGCAGATGCCGCCTGGTGGCACCAATCGTTATTACTTCAAGGAGACCGAGACTTCAAATACCGTCAATACCATACACGGCCCACCCAACGGTGGCATACCCTATCCATCGGAGCCTTCGCATCCGGCTCCCCTCAAGCAGCTGCCCAGCTCAAACTATCCACAGCCACAGACCGGCAATGGGTATCCACCGAACAATACCACTTATTCATATAAATACTCCTCCACAACGAACACAAACAATCGTCGAGGACCTGGTCCAGACTATGGCTCGCCCTCACCCTTCCCCGTGGACGGCGTCGAGTATCCCGTGGGCAACGGCAATCCGCCACAGCGTGTGGACGATCTAATGCAATCGTTTGGCACTGTAAGTAAACAATGTGTGAATCACATTTGAAAAGTTTTTAGCCAAACTCTCTTCTCTGTTTTGTATAGACGGATCACGTGGACCGCGTGGATATTGAGACGCCAGTGCGCAAACGCGAGATTGAGACCGCCGTGGCTTCGCCACAGCAGCAGCATGTACCCTCTGTGAACAAAGCTGGCAAGGAAGTCTACTATCCACCTGGACACGACACTATCATAACCAGGCGCGAGGAGATGCATGCAGGTTCTGCGGGAGGCGTAAGTGTTCGAATTGCTTAAAGAATTTCTTAAAGTTCAACTCACTTATATGTTGTTCCACGTAACAGGGCCGCTGGGCTAAGGGATCGGGCATGTACGAGTACGAATCGGGCTCGAAGTCAAAGACGAAAACCAAGTCGGGCGGCGCAGTTGTGCCCCTCTGCCTGCCCCTCTGCTGTGCCATGCCCTGCTCCATAATGTGAGCATCGTATCGCATCGCTTACAGTTGTATATAGGATTCTCTAATATTGCCGTTAATAAGTCTAACGCTAATTCCTGCCCCCTGCGTACAGCTTGTCGTTGATATATATTTTTGTTTACCTAACCACTTATCGGTTTTGCTTCTCCTCTGGATGCTCTAATTGTTGTAATTTTGTTGACCAAATTGATATAACTATTATATTATAAATATATATATATTTATGTCCAGGCCTATTGCCAATTTGTATTGGATTTGGTAGTAGTTACCCCTAACCTAGTTTGCTCCCCAAAATGATTTGCTCACTATCCAAAAGAGAAACACAAAAGCATTTATATTACAACGTGACCAGTGAAAGCCCCGAGCAGGCCTCGAAAGGTCTGCATATTTTTAAGTTTTTATTTGAAAGCCAATTGTTTTAACTGTATTTTGCATACCAAACTAATAAATGAGCCACGGAATTCAATTCCCCACTCGCCATACTTATACACGTGTTTTCCCGCCCCGACCCTCGAATATTATCTACTAATCATCGGCGGCCACTTAGCCGCCCAACAAAGTAATATGTAACCCAGACTTAAATGGTAACATAGTCGTTACAAAGCCATAAATATTTTCTAATACACGTACGCACTAAAGTGAAACAACAAAGTAACCTAAATAAAAACGAAATCTAACCAACGAAACGATTAGTTTAAATCTTTAATTGGACAAATGGGCGTATATATATATATATATATACAAAGGTAAAACCACTTAAGTTTGATAATATAGTAAAAGTTTTATTCTGGTATAGTAAAATGTATTTTAATAAGTTTTACATTTGGTATTGTATATTAAAGTATGGTAGATAATAAACACCCTTGCAGAGTGTGATATAATTTTAGAGTCGTTTTTAGCTTAACAGCAGCACACGGCGGCTGCTGCTTTTGGCCTCTGCTAGTTGGATCGGATTACTAAATAGCTGCTCTTGGATTAATCAGTCAAGAAAGTTGCCTTTCATGATATTGAATACTTCATTATATAGTATATCGGACTGTTACTCTACGGGCCATCTGCAAGGGTATGTGTACGATTCGGAGTACCGAAGTTACAAGAATTTTTGTTCTCTTTTAATTATCGTTTTCTGATCAAATAACAATTTGTATATCACAAAAGTAATATCTACATTTCACCTTGTAGGAATTGGTGTAGAATTTTTGTCTTTTTTTTTTTTTTTTGCTTTTCTTTGAAGAGAGATTTTGAGGAAAAATTATGAGAAAGAAACAAAAATCAACAAAGTCCACATATCCATTAGAATATGTAGAATATTAAATGGGGCTAGCTGCACTACTGAAGTACATATGGTATTTCTATATTGACTGGACATACTGCTACATACACAATATTTGTGTGTCTATTATTTGAGATAATTTAGGCTACTTCGAAAAAGTAATTTTGTCATTTGTACATACATAAGTAAATATTGTACGAAATTGAGATTCGCGTTTTCCAAATGGTTTGTCTTAGTTTTGTTTGGTTTTTGAGTTATTCGTAAACAGACTGCAATTGTATTTGGCTAACTCTTTCGCTCGGAATTCTTTAGCTCAGCTAAGTACCAAGTATAGGTTGCCAAATCCTTGATGCTATAGATTTCATATTTGATAGAATTTATGCCATCCATTTCAATTTTGCTGATGCCATTCTGTAGATTTTCGTAACTGCAAATAAAAAATTAAATTTAATATAGGTTAAAATTGATTGGAAGCAGAGCGCAGACCGTTTTGGATTGGCTTTTTCCTTCTGATGTTTCAACATTTTATAGCGAGCAATATTTATCGGATAACGTGATATGAATAAGTTAGCATGTTTCAATCTGAAACGAAATTTACGTTAATATATGTTATTTTGATATAGAATAATAAAGGTAATACCTGTTAGACATATCGTCGTCCTCGCCACCCCAGCCAAAGAACGAATTCGAAAAGCCATTAACAGTCTGGAATTGCTGACGTGTCATGGCAGAAACTCCACCAAATATTGAACGATAAGGCAACCTGCACAAGTGCAACAAATTAATCAGTAATTAGTCAATCAGTCAATCAATTAAATATAAGTAAATGATGACTGCAACCTACTTGAAGTTCAGCGTGTCAATTGCAACGGACATGTGCCGCGGCTGGCGTGGACAATTGTACAGATTGCGCTCATCCAAAGGTAAAAGATCGACATCGTGGAATATAAAACAGTCCCACTGATAAAGCTTTAAGGCCTCCAAGTAACCAATGTTCATCATGGCAGCACGATTAAAAGGCTTCCCATTGGTTTGCTCTATTATAAATATTCGATAGGCAATGCGCTGTTTCATTAGGAACGGATGTATATTGCGTAGGAAGACCGAGAGGTGTGCGTATCGGTCGCGGAAGGGCACGACAATGGCAACATGATATTGAGCAATGCAATCTGCAGGCTCATAAGCTCCACCAGGGCGCAGCAAAGGTGCCAGCTCTGCCTCGACAATTTCAAGAGATTCCAGTGTTGTGTTGGGCGTGATGGGGCCACCTAAAGAATATAATCATTTACATGTGCTCCACATATATATACCTTCTTCTACTTACCATCTCTGGGATCGGGATCAGTGCAGTTTTGTGTGGGATGCAATTGCGGCTTAAGTGTGCTATTTGCATAATCTTGCGGATGTGCGTGCGATAAGTCTTGTGGAATGGAAGTAAAGTTTGCAATCGCAATCACAGTCGTTGAGGTTGAGTTGCGACCGATGTGCTGGTCGCGTTCTTTAGACAGTGCCAATGGAGCGGCAGGCAACTTTTGCCCCGAAATGTGTGTGTTGACCTCTTTATCGCTGCCAATGCCATTTACGCTGTCGTTTCGATTGTGGATGTGGGCATACTTGTGCACACGTCGTATGCTAGAAGTAGAGCATAATTGTATATATTCAGAAAGTGATAAGCGAGTGCAGGTCTCACACTTACCTCAGCTTGCTCAGTGATGAGCTGCTGGCTCCGTCCGACTCTGAGGTCCACAAGAAGTTGAGCACCAGCAGTAGACATATGGTGCCACACACGAAGAGATTCGCTTTTGTAAATATGGTCATGGTCCATTGATTGCATCATTCCTTATTGGAGTTGATTGCTATTTTTAATAGCATTATTATGCTACTGAATCATTTTCAGCTTAAAACTACAAATATATTCTTGTTCGATTCCATATGGACCTTTCTTAAAACAGCTGATTATAAAATGCGAAAAAGACAACAGGGCGATTCGTGTGTTTTGGCCCATTGGCGGCAAAATTTAAAATAGTAATGCGACTTTGGGGCCACGGTCGCCAAAATTTTATTTTCAAAAATCATAAATGGCTGGAAAACATTAAATACGATATCGGAAATTTAGCAATTTAAATATGCAAGCTGGAACTGTTGCCAATTTAGAAAAATTAGCCAGCTCATGGACTATTATATATTTGTGTTTCTTTTTACAGCTACTATTAATTATAAAAACAATGTTTAAACAAAAAACTGAAGATTTTTACAAATTTCAATGCGTTTTATCCTGGCAGTCGTACTGGCTCATTGTCCTTTATATTGACAGTTTTTAATACATCATCAAATGTATACTCTATGCGCAATATCTTATCGTCGCCCAAGCTCGGATCAAAAAAGCCAGGTAAGTCGCTCTGCAAGAAAATAATAAACGTAAATGAATAAACCATCTTGCAATTAAATTGAAAGGTTCAACATACCTTCGACGATTCATACAACTGTAATGTACCATCTCTGACTAAACACTGAATGGGCACCGTCACATCATGCGATGTCTCGGGTTTGAACTGGGAGGTGCCTTCATTGATGCAACCATAAATCGCTCTCTTAATAATCAGTCCACGACGCGCCTGTTCCTCATTTATGATGCGATTGTATGTGCTCTGCATCAAGTGTATTGCTGCCATTGCCTCCGATTTCTTAGCAGCTAAACGCTGCTCATTTTGCCGTTTTGAACGCTCCACCTCGATGCTCTTGCGATCAGCCTCCATGGGGTCCATAATGGTTTTTTTTACGAAAAACCACGCGATTATCGGAGTCACTGTTGCATAGAAAACAGCTGCGGGCACAATTTCGTCACTCAGATGTATTGGAAACACATACGATTGATTTGAACGAATTATTCTGGAATCAATAATGATTTTTTTTATATCTTGTTCAATACTCTGCACAGACGGGTCACTCACTTCAATTTGAGTATGACTCCGGAAGGCACTCCTATGGAAACGGTGGCTATCACCGAACTATATTTCGAAACTTTTTTTTCTACTCCATATTCCCCCAAGAAGCCAAATGTACCCACTCTGAAAATGTCGATAAATCAGACCAGATCATTGTTTAAATATTATGCACACTCACTTGGTCGCCAACTTCAGCTTCATCTCGTTCTCTAGCATCTTCCGCGTATAGGAGACGCCAAAGTACATGTGAGGAGTCCCTATCACAAAGGAAGTGCTGATGGCGTGCTGATCATTGGAGTGATCAATCTGCGTGGACATGGATGATTGCGGCCCGGCATTGAGAGTTAGACTGCCAACGGTATGCTTGTCTAGCTGAACAGCCAGCGTGGAAAACACAACGGGTATAACACCATTTTCCTGGAAATTCATATTGGTGCCGCCATTCAGCGTTAGCTTCGATGTAAGCGTGCGTCCACCTGTCGCCGTTGCATATACAGATCTTCACAATTTAATAAACTGCCGATTAATAATCCCAGTCGCTTACCCTTAAGACCCAAGAGAAAGCCATTGCCGGCACCAAGGCAAATCTCCATCCAACCTTTGTTAAGTAGTCGGCGCCCCGCAACCATAAAGCCGCCATTGCCCGTGCCATTGGATGAGTACAGATTGCCACTCATGATGATCATATCCTTACGAGTTATAGGCGCCTCAATCGATTGGGCAATGCTCATTGAACCAATCTCCACTCGCGGCATCTCAGAATCATCGTAGGGAGTAAATATTTCGGTAGCATTCACATTGATGGTGATGTTGCCACGAGGATTGGTGCGCTGCTGCAGGCGACGCTCGGCCGCAGCCTGGGCCAAGCGTTCATACTCCTCACGTATCTCTGCCGGTGTCTTTGTGCGGTGTACAATTTCCCAGCCTTCTGTTTTGAGACCCTTTTCCCCTACTGAATCGTAAATAGCACGCTGCTGCGGATCGGACAGAACCTCGTAGGCGCGTTTTGTTCTATTGAACATAATCTCTGCCTCCTTCTTGCTATCCGGGTCCGTATGCTTGTCCGGATGGTAAATGCGACTCTGCTTTCGGTATGCCGTGTTAATTTGCTCGGTGGTGGCCTGGTAGTTCATAGTTCATACATTAAAAGTTACAATATATACTGTTCAACGTTGCACTTACATCTCGCGGCAAATTGAGAAATGTGTAGTAGTTTTCATCGAGTTCGGCGTCGGATTCGTTGTCCGATGCCATAACGCCGAATTTTAAAGTTAGACAATCGACAGATTACGCTCAGAGTGTCTAATGTACCGGTTGTACAATAACGGCATATGCAGCATCGGTCGAACCGACGATTTATTATTCAATTTTGATGAAAATTTTGAAACGATTTTTTATACTACTTTACGCAATAATAACAACACGTGTGATGGAACACGAAACGCTGGGAAACCCTCATTCACACAGGGTGCCTCGAACAGATCTTTTGGAGAAACCAAGCAACTAATGTCATACATACATCTATTCACAAATCAGCTATTACAGTTTGTATTGCCGAATTATTAAATACACAAATTTCAAATCAATTCTGAAAAGCTTTGTAAATAATTTGAAGAAAACACACGTACACTTGCTACTCAAAAGCGTTGGCAGCACCGTGGCTTACACCTAATGCAACGCTGCGTATATTGTTTCAGTTCCACCATAGCCGATTATTAATTGTGCGCTGCTCACATCTTTGACTGCCGTCTTTATCCAGCCCTCGTAAGGGAAACGTGCTCGTGGTTCGCTCTGACGAAATTTTCGACTCAATAGCGGTGCATTTTGCAGCTGTTTTATTTGATAATTAGTGCAAGTGTGAAATTAATAAAGTAAAATACTAATATGTTGCGCGTACCCAATCTTCTCCCGCGCCTTGCTCGCCAGGTCAGCCTTGGAGCACCAACGAATATTTCGGTAGTTTCTAGCATATTCCGCGTAAGTACATATCAGCTTTACATAATAGGCCGCGCGGCATGTTCTAGCAATTGATGTATCCACTAATGTTTTTACGTTTCATTCGTGCTTAACACATACTCTTTACTATTTACAGAATCTACCGGGTGTCTTCAATGGATCGTCGGGTCAAATGCGTTACAAGTAAGTGAACTTTGATACCATAATCCTTATTACACATTTTCATTTGCCGCATTGTAGTGCGAGATCTCCATATTAAACAATATGCCGCTACTTATGTAATAGATATTTTCCATAATAGTAATATATTGTAAATATATTATCTATTTCTGAATGCTATTGCGCTAATCTGCTTAAAATATTTTCTTAGTATATGATGCAGATCCATATGAGACGTTAACATGTGTACGACCATACATATATAAACATGCAGTTATTGGCAGTGTTGAGCATAGTGGTTCAATTGTAATTGGTAGTTCAGTTCCGTGCTCCATGATAAATTTTTATTCCAATGAAATACTTTTAAACATAATTAGTGATTATATAATATGATGTATAAAAAATTCGTGATATACAAATACAAAAATTTCATCATTTAGATGAATAATTACATCAGTTCGCACTTGATGCTGAATGGAGTTGCTCGTCTTGAATTATTGACTCAGCATAATTGCAAGGTTTTAGTCTCTACTTCCGCGCTAGCAATCTTATCAGATTTGCAAATATCTACTAACACGTGCTATATTGTATTATTTTTCTACTCTCAGATCTGGAGAAGTTAAAGGTGCTGTTATTGGTATCGATTTGGGCACCACCAACTCTTGCCTGGCCGTGATGGAGGGCAAGCAAGCGAAGGTGATTGAGAATGCAGAGGGCGCACGCACAACACCCTCACATGTTGCATTCACCAAGGATGGTGAGCGTTTGGTTGGAATGCCAGCCAAGCGTCAGGCGGTCACAAATTCAGCAAACACTTTTTATGCCACAAAGCGTCTGATTGGACGCCGCTTTGACGATCCTGAGGTGAAGAAGGATATTACGAATCTTTCGTACAAAGTCGTTAAGGCTTCCAATGGTGATGCCTGGGTATCGGCGACTGATGGCAAAGTGTACTCTCCCTCGCAAATTGGTGCCTTTATCCTTATCAAGATGAAGGAGACAGCCGAAGCGTATCTCAACACTCCAGTTAAGAACGCCGTTGTCACTGTGCCCGCTTACTTCAACGACTCACAGCGTCAGGCTACAAAGGATGCTGGCCAAATTGCTGGTCTGAATGTGCTGCGTGTTATTAATGAACCTACAGCTGCAGCGCTGGCTTACGGCATGGATAAAACCGAGGATAAAATGTAAGTGAATTCATTGGTTTCCTTAATAGCTAAATGAATACTAATGTATATTATTATCTTTTAGTATTGCTGTATACGATTTGGGCGGCGGAACTTTTGATATTTCCATTTTGGAAATCCAGAAGGGCGTCTTTGAAGTTAAATCCACCAACGGTGACACTCTGCTGGGCGGAGAAGATTTCGACAATGCCATTGTGAATTTCTTGGTGGCCGAGTTCAAAAAGGACAGCGGTATTGACATCCGCAAGGACAATATTGCCATGCAGCGTCTGAAGGAAGCTGCAGAGAAAGCAAAGTGCGAACTGTCGTCCTCGCAGCAAACAGACATCAATTTGCCATATCTGACCATGGATGCCGCTGGACCACAGCACATGAATCTGAAAATGACTCGTTCCAAGCTGGAAAGTCTGGTCGGAGATCTTATCAAGCGCACCATTCAGCCCTGCCAAAAGGCGTTGTCCGATGCAGAGGTATCTAAGTCTGAAATTGGCGAAGTTTTGCTCGTTGGCGGTATGACGCGTATGCCCAAGGTACAGTCTACAGTACAGGAACTGTTTGGACGCCAGCCCTCGCGTTCGGTTAATCCTGATGAGGCTGTTGCCGTGGGTGCCGCTGTTCAGGGTGGTGTTTTGGCTGGCGATGTCACTGATGTGCTCTTGCTCGATGTCACCCCTCTGTCGCTGGGTATTGAGACGTTGGGAGGTGTATTCACGCGCCTTATCTCACGCAATACAACTATTCCCACCAAGAAGTCGCAGGTGTTCTCAACGGCCAGCGATGGTCAGACGCAGGTGGAGATTAAGGTGCACCAGGGCGAGCGTGAGATGGCCAACGACAACAAATTGTTGGGATCCTTCACACTGGTCGGCATTCCACCAGCACCCCGTGGCGTCCCTCAAATTGAAGTGGTCTTCGATATTGACGCCAACGGAATTGTCCATGTGTCTGCTAAGGACAAGGGTACCGGCAAGGAGCAACAGATAGTCATCCAGTCCAGCGGAGGTCTCAGCAAGGACGAAATCGAGAACATGATAAAGAAGGCGGAGGAATACGCATCTGCTGATAAGAAGAAACGTGAACTGATTGAAATCGTTAACCAAGGCGAGAGTATTGTGCACGACACAGAGACTAAAATGGAAGAATTTAAGAGCCAGCTGCCCGCTGACGAGGTTAGTAAATCGCTTTTACTATATTGGTTTGCAAATACCATAATTACTTTATTTTTAGTGCGAAAAACTGAAAAAGGAAATTGCTGATCTGCGCACCCTGCTGGCCAACAAGGAGACGGCTGATCCAGAGGAGGTTAGAAAATCTACCACGCAGCTGCAACAGTCTTCGTTGAAGCTTTTCGAGATGGCATACAAAAAGGTAAGCACTTCATAATTGAAATATGAGTATATTTTCTAAATTGAACTATTAATTGCTTAACAGATGTCCGCTGAACGTGAGAGCAGCTCCGGCGGCGGCACCACCGCCAGTAGTTCGGGCGAAGCTTCCGGCGAGACCAAGAAGGAGGAAAAGAATTAAATTAGGCAACCATAGTCGTAGTTGTTGTTCCCTTATTTCATAATAATCACATTTGGATTTGGATTAAGTTGTATGTTAAACAAAACAAAGCCCATCATATTCCTGATTCTTCTAAATCACATAAAGTGATCCTTATCATTCATAAGCAAAAAGCATTTACCCAAATTGTGTAGTAATATGCGCGGACATAAACAACCTACGAAATGCAAAAACCAACGACATACGATCATATCTCAGTCAAAATCAGTTGCATTAAGTTTTTATTGTTTATAATGCACGAAATGTCTGGATCAAAATCTAATGTAAATCTGAGCTGTAGAGTTGTTGTGCTTACTGTAAGATTTTCCTTACTTTTACTTTACGTTTATATTAAACTAGTTGTAGTTGTATAATAACGAGCACAGCAGCACAAGCCCAAATTCTACAGAGCCCACATGAGATAACACTCATTGGAAGATCGAAAGTTATAATTTAAGCAAAATTATTCTTTGGTTTCCAGTGGATAACCAAACAAAAAGAGTTTACTGGGTAAAATGCAATTACATAGTCTCTTTACATTTGTAAACTTTAAATATACGTGAACAAAAATATATTATTTACAAACTGAACACCACTGTTATCATCTTATATATGTATATATAAGATTAATTGTGTGAATAGATTATATCTAGAGTGGTATGAATTGTGTCTATTCATGCATGAGAAGTGCTTTGTATTTGGTAGTAAACTACCAACTTTAGCTTATCTATTATTGACTTATCGGTTTATAATATGCATATATATTGGTGAGTATGTTTACGTATAAGATTGATGTGGTTTGAAGCTCCCAATAAGTTGTGTGAATTTATTTAAAGCACAATTTAAGTGCATTGCAAAGCTATTAGCTATTATAAAAGCCTTCAGTTAATCTCACAATTAAATTTTCAATGGCGCAATTAGTATTCAGATAGCGCTGGAAAATATTAGCTATGTCCTTAACTTCCACTATCACGAATATTTTGGCGTAACGTTAAGAGATCACATGCTTCACGTGACTCGTAATCTTTAAACTTTGCCGCAAGCAGTGTTATTTTTTTAGCACCTGGAGGTTGAGTGCGTTCCCACGAATCACTCACTGCTTTAAGTTTTAATTGATATTGTTTTCGTTTTATTTTTCAACAATGTCGGTAAATTCATAAATATGTCTTAGGTGCTAAAATCCTACTATTTACACTAAATGTGTCGGTCTTACTTTTGTATTTACAGGCTACTAATCAATACTAATCGCTCTTAAATACTAGATTTTCATTGATCGAAATTTGTTATTCTAATGGATAAATATTGATCGCGCTGTCAATATTTACATGGCGCCAGTTTGCAGTTTGTACAAGGTGTGGTAGAGGCCACGGTTCTGCAGGAGCTCTTTGTGTGTGCCGCTTTCGCAGACTACTCCATTCTCAAATACGTAGATCACATCGGAGTCGACGATGGTGGACAATCTGTGGGCTATGCTGATTGTGGTGCGTCCCTCAGCAGCAGCGTCCAATGCTTCTTGAACGATCTACAGAAGTGAAACAAACGAGAAATAGAAATGAATTTTTTGGGCAACGATGAGAGTTTTCCTTTCGGATCTTACCTTCTCGCTTTCTGCATCCAATGCGGATGTCGCCTCGTCCAATAGGAGAATCTTCGGGTTCCTAATCAGAGCACGAGCAATGGCAATGCGCTGTTTCTGTCCGCCAGACAGCTGAGTGCCCTTCTCGCCCATTCGCGTTTCGTAGCCCTGTTAAATATGTAAAATCTCATTATCTGCCCTTAAGGAGATCTCAACTGGGACTCACCAATGGCAAATTGGCAATGAACTGATGTATGTTGGACTTCTTAGCCGCTGCAATGATCTCTTGATCGGTGACGATGCGCGAGTTGTCGCCATACGCAATGTTCTCACGTATGGAGCGATCGAAGAGTATTGGCTCCTGGGACACTATGCCCAGCTGCATGCGCAGATTGCTCATGGCCAGTTGGCGAATATCGTTGTCATCGATCAGCACAGCGCCAGCGTCCACGTCGTAGAAGCGCTGCAGCAGCTGAATGCACGTGGACTTGCCACAGCCGGAAGGACCGACCAATGCAACTTTCTGGCCAGATTGCACCGCCATAACTAGCTCGCGCAGCACCTGGACCTCCCGACGCGTCGGATAGCTGAACTCCACCTTGTCGAACATAACATTGCCATTGGAATGCCAGGGCTGCAGAGAGACGCCCGGACTGTCGGCAATCAGTGGCTTACGTTCCAGGAATTTCAATATGCTCTGGGCCGCAGTTATGCCCTTTTGCATGTTGGGCGCAAAGGCCAGCGCGCTGGCAATGGAGGCGGTGCCCATGATCAAGGCCTGGGAAACTCTGCAAGGGAAAATATATTTGTTAGCCAATTACTTAATTGATTTCTTAGCATTTAGCGGTGCTCACTTGAATACATTGCCCATCTGTAGGTTCCGATTGACCACGCACCAGGCGCCATAGTACATGCATGCGGCATATGCGAAGAACATCATTGATCTGGCCAGGCCAAAGACTAGGCCTCGATAGTGCGTGTTCCTCTTCGATTTCTATAAAACGAAAACGAAAGAGCGTGAATCGTGATGGGATGTATGGACTGATTAGGTTGCTTACCACGACGGCTGGTGTCAGAATTTCAATGTAGGTTCGATGGAACATGTCCTCGCGAGCCAGCGATACGACTGTGCGTATATTTGATACCACCTCGACGGCTAGCTTAGTTGTGTTCTCCATGATCTTGGCATTGCCCATGTTCTCCTGCGCCATGACTATGCGTTGCATGTAGAAGGAAACCAGAATGAAGGGTATAAACGCCATGGCCACCAGACCCAAGCTCCACTCGTAGTACATGGCCAAGGCGATGCCTAGCAGCAAGGTTGCAACCGATTGGATAATGCTGCCAATACGTTGACCAGTTGCCTAAGTATACAAATATATATATATATATATATAATTATGTAAGTATTATGTATATATGTATATAGTACTTACACCCTGTACGGCGGCTGCATCGCCGGAGAGACGGGCGCAGAGATTTCCAGTGCCATTGGCACGATCATCGAACCAGGACACCTCCTGTTTGAGCATCGCACTGAAGAGAAGACCGCGCAGACGCTCCGTCAGGTGTTCGCCGGCGATGCCGAAGAGATAGATTTGCAAGAAGGTGGCGATGCCAACGACAATACCACAGATCAGAAAGTATAGACTGTATTGGTTTGTGTTCTCTCGAACGTAGTCATCATCTGGGGATGTCAGCACCTCGAGTATGCTGCCGAAGAGTATCGCAAAAATGGGCATGGCACAGCCCATTATAACTGAGCAAATGCAGCCGACAGCGATTTGGATCCATTCGGGCTGGTTCAATCTCATGACGCCCATCATGGGCGAGGGTTCCTTAGGGTCTGACTTGTTTCTCTTCTTCTTTTTATCTAATTTACCTATTTGGTCGTCGACGTCCTCGTCGTCTAATACCTTAATTTCCTGCTCATCCTCATCCTTGATATCGAAGTTCTTAAGCATGTTTCCACTGGGACTGAGCACGCCGCCATCATCTTCGCCCATCTGTGTGGTGACTAAGTTGAAGTAGTGATTCCTTATGGACATCAGTTCCTGATGGGTGCCGGACTCCACGACCTCGCCGTTGTTGATCACCACAATTTTGTCGGCGCGTCGCACTGTGGACAGACGATGCGCCACAATGATGGTGGTGCGGCCTTGGCTGACCTTCTCGAGGGCAGCCTGCACCTTGGATTCGCTAGCCGTGTCGAGGGCCGAGGTCGCCTCGTCTAGTAGCAGAATTTCCGGATCACGAATCAGAGCGCGGGCAATGGCAATGCGCTGTTTCTGACCGCCAGACAGCTGGGCTCCACGTTCGCCCACCAGCGTGTCGTAGCCCTTGGGTAGCTTCTTAATGAATATGGCAGCATTTGCTGCTGCGGCAGCCGCCTCGATATCCGCCCTGGTGGCATCCTCTCGGCCGTAGCGTATATTCTCGTATATGGACTGGCCAAAGAGCACTGGCTCCTGTCCAACCACTCCGATACGTTCGCGCAGATACTTGATATTGATGTCCTTGATGTTTGTGCCATTGAAGAAAACATTTCCGGCTTGAGGATCATAGAAGCGCTGTATCAGCTGTATGCAAGTAGACTTGCCACAGCCCGACGGCCCGACCAGGGCCACCGTCTGGCCGCGATGGATCTTCAGGTTGAGCTTTTGCAAAATCGGTATCTCCTTGCGGGTGGGATACTGGAACTCTACGTCGCGGAACTCGATGGTCGTCAGCGGCTCATTCAGGTTCTTGCCGCGTGGCTCGATTGGATTGATGGTTGGGATCTGCTCAATGATCTGGAAGACCTTGGCACAGGCACCCTTGGCTATGCCAAACGCCTCAATATAAGGCGATGCCATGCCAATGTTCATGGAGCCCATCATAATCGATAGGAAGACGGTGATCATGGTGCCTGGCGTGTAGTTGGCATAGTATTCATCGTGGCGCCCCTTGATGACTAGGCCAACACCATACCAGAAGGCCAGCGCGTATGAGGCATAGATGAAGAACCACAGGAGGCCAAAACCCATGCCGGAGAACATATTACGCTTGATGTTCAGCAATTTGGCAGCCACAACCTTCGCCTTGTAGGCGAAAACCTCTTTGTGCTCGCCCTCAAAGGCCTTGACTGTGCGGATGCCGGACAAAGCTTCCTCGGCGACAACGGCGGCACCGGCATATATGTTGACCTCCATCTTGGCCAGCTTGGATGTGGCCACAGCCACAAAGCCCATGGCGATGAAGGTGACGGGCAAACTGGTCAGGCACACCAGCGAGAGCTGCCAGCCCTTGATGAATGCCAGCACAACGGATCCAACGAAGGCAACAATGAAATGCACAAAAATCACAACCTTCTCGCCCAAGCCGTCCTCCATCTTCGATAGATCTCTGTGTGGTGCAATATAAGCAATTAGACGCTCAGTGGCTACCGGCACAAATTCGTCAACTTACTCATTCATGCGGCTGGCCACCTCGCCGCTGGGATTCATGTCGTACCAGCTCATGTCCTGATGCAGCACCGATTGAAAGAACTTGGAGCGAATGCCCATAATTTGAGAGTGGGCGGCATAGTTGAAGCAGGTGATGGACAAGTAACTGCAGACCAGCATAATAATTCCAATATATGTGTTGTTCAACGAAAAGGACTGCACCGCATCCAGCAACGTGTCCGAGGCGGCATCTTTCATATACACGGTTCTATCCAATGCGACACTGTTTTTAATCATGTCCTAAGAGTACGAAGTAAATCAAGAGCATGTTAGTACATAGCGAGTGCCAGGCAGTTGAGTCAACAAACACTCTTAATAGGTAAACACTTCAAAGCACTTTGACTTGCTTTCATAGCCATTGAAAATGGGAAATGAACGGTTCTGCTAAGATGTCTGATCTAGCCTAGTTCCTCTGTCTCAGAATCCGTATCTCCAATACAGTTTCAATGAAATCCAATTTCAAGTCATTCATCATCAACATTTCCCTTTAAGTTCAGTTCAGCTCAGTGCATTCCCAGCTGCTACTGTGTTGCTTGTCTTCTTATCTATCTATCAATCGAGTGTTGACTAAGTATACAAGTTGCTGCTAGCCAATCGGAAGAGTAGATATAGAAATGTCATAATATACTTACGTCGGCGAGATTTCCAAAGATCAAACTGTTCGCTGGCGTTGTCAGGCCGGTTGCAACAGCGCTGGCTAATCCGATAGCATAGAGCATGCGATCCTTTTGCGTTGCATAGCGAAACATTGTGAAGAAGCCGACCGGCTTGACGTCATCCTTCGGTTTGTCATCCTTGCCCTCAGCGTCATGCTTCGATTGCTTTTTCGTTTTATTTGGCTCGCTGCAATGATACGCAAAGCACATGCCATTTCATAAGCACTCTCAAAAGAAACTATTGAAGTCATAAATTGGGCGCGTAACAGCCGTTCGCATGCCATTTTCGAACTTAAGCAAATCGCACATTCCTTATCACTGACCCCAGCACCAATCAAGGCTGCCGCAGTCGAAGCCACAACCACGTTACGTCCACATTGATTGGCGCTATCAGCCCAAGTCAAACGTTTATATCATTCATTCAAATCGTCGAACTCGTCATTCGATTTCGGCTGTATGTTCGTACGTATCACAAGATTCCCAGGCAGCACTTAGTTTCAACAATAGCCGAATATATATTGCATATATACATATATATTCTTTGTTGTTTTAACTACTAGCGGAGCACTAAAATTTATGACACTCAAAAGCCAAATATTGTGCACGCCTCGTCGCAAAAGTCATGCGGAATATCAAAAACTGCCCGATCATGGTTACCGCAGTTTTTGATAGACCTATCAGAAGGTGGATAAACGACGTATATTATGGAAAATATATATTATAAATACTATATTGATTTATGTACATACATAAATTCCTTATATATACATCGTTTTGTATAAATATATATATATAAATAAATACTAAATGAAAATAAAATCAATATGGCATGTAGACAGCCATTGTTGATAGAGGTATTGTTGTTAAGAGCTTAAGAACTTTAGATTTTTATAATACAAAATAGCAAGAAAGGAAAAGTTTATGAAATATAAGGAAAATAAGAAAATCTATTTGACAATAAAATACTAGAATAAATATATATATTAAAAAAAACTATTTTTAATTTTTTATAAAATAAAATAAAAAATAGAAAAAGAAAAATATTTAAATAAAATATATAAATATATTTTCGATTTGACAATAATAATACTAAGAAAAATAAAAATTTTTTTTTTACTTTTAACAAAAAAACAAGAATTAAAACTAAAAATAGATCAATTTTCATTTTACACAAAAGAATTTTTTTATTTTTAGATTATATTATGTATATATTTATTATTATATATATATTTAATCAACAATTATTTTATATAAAAGAAATATATATATATATATATATATATATATATATATATATATATATATATATATATATATATATATATATATATATATATATATATTAATATATAAAATAAATAGTATATATATATATTTTTTTTTTTTTTATTGCTTCATGAAATTTATATTTTTTTTATTATATGTAGTTATTAAAGCATGTATATTTTACACAACCCACGAATTTTTATTTTTCTAGCTTCTATTAATTTATTTAATTAAAATAAAGTTTATTTAAGTGCAAGAACTGAATCACAATGATTTGACGGGTCGCAACTTGTCTTTCCATTTGTATAGCCTTCTAAAAGTATATATTTTTGTATATAAAAATACAATATATATATTTTGAGTCACAAGTATCTAAAAACTTTATCTATGTTTTTATATTTTATTTTAATTTCTGCATATGCAAACCGCAATTTGAATGAGATTGTGGCAGGCTTTTGGCCTAAAAGCCTTAAAGCGTATTTAATATTTATAAACTGAGTACGAAATAACAAAAGTTTTTCACACAAGTATCGATAAGCTTTCATTGTCCTTATTCAAAGTACATTTCATTCAACTCACAATTTGTTGCGATCTTTGTCAGCGTCCGCAAAGGACTCACTCAAAACAATATTCGATTTGTAGTGGGACAATCGATTGTCATCGGCGTCCTTGATGGCACTGCCGTTAGACTCGGTCATTTTGATAGGTTCTTCAACACTTTCTTTTGGATTGGTCAATTTTCTTTTGTTTTGAACACACGAACTAAATGCAACCACTGTTAGAAAGAGACTTCTGAAATTAGCCAAAACATATGGACTTATATGTGAATCGCTGGCCATCAAAATAATGTTAGTCGATATCGGCTCATATTTGATAAAGCTTATCAGTTAATTGCACTACTAATAAGGAAAGAGTATGCGAAAGAAAAAGAGTAACGCCATCAGCCAGACGAGACCAACTGAAGAGCAGATTTCATAAGCCATGTGGCACGTGCACTTCAATCTGCTGGAAATCATCATTTTTGATTAATCGATTTTGTTTTCGCAATTCATAATATTTGGACTTACTTGAATACCTTTTCAAACTCGTTGAAGCCTACGGCAATTGGCACAATTTAATCATTTTATTAGCAATGTCATCATTCGTTTTTCAATTACCAAACAAGAGAATGAAATTTCCCTCTCTATATCTCTCTCTACATACCATACGCTCTCTCTCTCTCTCTCCCTCTGGCTCTCTATCTCTTTCTCTGTCTGCCTTATTAATTGCTAACACAATCGATTATATATTGAATTACCTTATCATTTGCAAATTTTTCAAGACGGGCAAGGTGTATTTCCCATTAGATAGCGCCGGTTTACGATGTACTTAAAAAATACATGGGTAAAAATATCAACAAATGAAAATTCTACTTATGCACTTACCATGCTATCAATATATTCCGAATTATACATATTCAAGTAGATATGCTGATTAATCTAGACACGTGTTAACACTCGCATGCGTTATAATAATTGTATATTAGCTTTGCCTTTTATGTGTCCAAGTTTTCGTATTAGCTCTCGATATTTCATTCTTGTTAAGAGAACTGAAATTTGAATAACGAATTTAATAAAAATATTTAATATAAATAATTGATAATAAATAGTAAAAAAGAAACGAAACGTGAAAAATAATCATTATCATTATAATCTTATTAGTAAATTTATTGTTATGGATAGCGCCACGCGCTTCATTCCTTGCCCGTTTGCACGTCCATGCGTACTATACTCTCTTATGCTGATAAATTGAATTAGCGCTGTGTATTCATGATATCAGCACTTTAAATATGAAAGAGTCTTAAGTCTGGAAGTGATAAGAAGTTGACGGCAAATTTTTAATGTCGGTAATCGCGATGGGTCATACTGGTCTATAAATATTTGAGTATTTGTTCATTATTGGTCAAAATCTATGAAAAACAGATGATAAATAAGTCACGTTTTTTTGGTGTGCAGCGACTGGGTGGAGATCAGCCTATTGTTAAGCCTATATAGCCGACTAATAAATGAATACCTATATCTATATACCTCTACATATAGCATTACCAGGTAACTTCAAGCTTAATTTCTTATGTTGACTAATCATTTACGTATTGTCGTATAAAATGACTTCTTATACGAAAGCTCAATTTAAAAATCCCGCCTTGTCTTGCTAATTATTAACAACAACACCAGCTCTCTCGTAATAATAAGGCAAAATATTACAAGCTTTTTATATTCTACATTCATTTAATAAAGTTATAGAAACTATGTTTAATATAATATATAAAGTGCAATTTTTTTAATGTAATCAAAAGTAAACAATAGATTATTCGAATATAAGAGTGATTACAATGGGTCTGTAATGGCTATGTTACTATTGTGAATAGGTGTTGAGTTAGCAGTCAGTTGCATTAACAGCTGTTAAAATTTCAATTTTTTTAAATGTATATTCTTAAATAATAGTAAGCTACTATGGCACAACTGGTTATTATATATTTTGAATAATTGGCAAGAGCCATCTCAAATGTATAACTAGATACCACACTAAAAATATATTGCTCACTGTTATTAACAGCTTAAGCGCATGTTAAGTTTTTGATTTTCATGACATAGTTAATAACGAACTAAATGAACAACAATCTTTGAACTGGTTCGTTCATTCAGTTTCAGCGAGTCGTTCGATCGAACCTATTCCATACTCTATTAGTAATAGAAACGCAATTCAACAAGTCATCAACATGTCAGGCGAAGCAGAGAAAACTTATACGCGTGCTGAAGTTGCCAAACATAACACCAACAAGGATACATGGCTACTAATTCACAATAATATTTACGATGTCACAGCATTCCTGAACGAGGTAAGCATTGATAGCAATTAACAAACAACAACAGCAGCAACAAAGACAAATCTACAATTATGTACACGTCGGAATCAGGGCGCGGGCGATGGCATTTAATTTCCCCTTGACTGAATAGTTGCTTGAGGACGGGGGAGAAACTGTCTTATCATCATTACTTAGGTTTTATAACTCGTCTTAACAGTGTTTGTTAGTGTGTACATATTTCCACATATTGCGTGTAACTATATGAAAATTACCTGCAAAACACGAGCTGTCATTTGTCCCTGTACTTTGACCTACGATCCGTGAATGAATGAATGACCTACTCGTTTTCACAGTTACTTTGAACTTGTGAATATGTTGTATTTGTTGCTTTTTCGAAGCTTTCATGTTTTTATTCATATTTTTTTGATATTTTTGTGCCAGCGCGCAGCTTAAAATGTTTTCATTATCAATGGATATAGGGCAAAAGTTAAGCAAAATCCGCTCATACGAACATTTACATTTCATTCCATTTGTGAAACAGACCCACTATTCTGTATATAGCTGTAAGTGGGGCGAAATTTGAAAATCAATGTTAGGCGAAAGTCATATATATGTATGTATAAATATATATTGAAATGTCGAGAACAGCTTTAAATAAATAAAATGAATTTCAAATATGAGAGAAGTGAAAAATGCCAAATTAGTTTGAAACTACATTCATTTAATTGGCTAAATAATAAATATGAATTTATTGATATGAATTCCATCTGAAATGTATAAAATTGTTAGCAAAAATCTATTTGGACCCGCCTCAAATCCTTATACACATGAGCAGATGCTACTCACTATGACCGTTGTTTGCTTTTAAGTTCCAATGGTGATAAGAAGGCCAACCAACCACTTGAATAATTTTTGTATTATAATGATTACGCTGCAGTTTATGTATGCGGAGCAATTAAAGTTAGTGTGATGAAAGTAGCACTTTGGCTTGCATTAAGAACTTTTCGATGTTTACGCACACTGCTGGAAATAGAAACGTCTTGTCCGGCGGTTTATGTTTTAAACATTTGATCAGGGTTTCACGGTCAGCACAACAAGGGACGACAGCAGCCATTTGCATTGATTTGCATATGAAAATAGCGTATTTAATATTCGTTTGTTTTCTTGCAGCATCCCGGCGGCGAAGAGGTACTGATCGAGCAGGCCGGCAAAGATGCTACCGAAAACTTCGAGGATGTTGGCCACAGCAATGACGCGCGCGACATGATGAAAAAGTACAAAATCGGTGAATTGGTTGCCCACGAGCGCACGAAAGTTGCACAGAAATCTGAACCCACCTGGAGCTCAGACACACAGAACGAGGAGAGTTCAATGAAGTCGTGGATAGTGCCCCTGGTTCTCTGTCTGTTTGCTACGCTCTTTTACAAATTCTTCTTTGGCAATGCTAAGCAGCAATAAAGTTAACAAATATGTTCCGTTTGCCTCAACGCTGGACCGCTAAATGCCTTCGCCATCTGACCAAGCTAGAAAGTGAGAGAGATACACGTGAAGGGGTATCAACTCTTACATACCCTGCCTTTAATACTAATTCTAGTAGTGTTCCATACGCTTGCTGGAGACGTTTGGCTGCGTCTGCCGTTGTACCTGGCGGAATTTGTAGAGAGAATTTGTGCTAAGTTTTAAAGATAAAAATGTGAATGTTTTGGCATCTTGTTTTTGTACTAATTTCTATAGTAAGTGGGTTTGAGTTTTCTTATGAACTAGATAATTGTTTAACGTTCCAACATGCAACAAAAATATACACATATATTTAAATAGACTATTAAATATGAATGTATTCAAAATTGCTTTGTTTGTTATTTTGTCAGAGCAAAATTAATTTTCTAAATTTTTTTGTAAAGCAACTAATGTTACTATGTCAAAATTTATTCACGTGGCTGTCCTGGCCGGCAGCTCAATGCTTGCATTTTCCTCAGCCGGAATGTCCCAGGAGCGAAGCAAAGCGCCCCAAATGAAACGTGAGTTGCCCACACGCCATATGAATCTAGAATCATTGCGTCGCACCGAGTACGATATCCTGATCATTGGCGGTGGTGCAGTGGGCGCTGGTTGCGCTCTGGATGCAGCTACACGTGGGTTAAAAACAGCCCTAGTCGAGGCCGACGATTTTGGTAGTGGAACCTCATCGAAGTCTAGTAAATTGTTGCATGGCGGCCTACGGGATCTTGACTACGCAATTGCAAATTTTGACATGCCCGCCTTTCGGCGTGTGCTTTCATCGCTGCACGAGCGCCGAAACATTGCCAATCTAGCGCCGCACTTAAATCAGTCGGTGCCAATAATGCTGCCAGTCCACAATTGGTGGCAGGTGCCCATCTATTGGATGAAACTGCATCTTTATCATCTAATGGCACCAGGGACCACTAAGGGTTTCTCATTCATCAATAGTCGCGAGGCGCTTGAAATGTTTCCGATGATGCGCCGCGATATGTTTGGCGCCTTCGTCTTCTACGAAGGTCAGCATGATGATGCCCGGATGTGCCTGGCAATTATTTTGACTGCCGCCCGCTATGGCGCCGACGTCTGCAATCACATGAAGGTGGTCGATCTGTTACGTGACAAAAATAAAAATGTAACTGGAGCTAAAGCTGTCGACCAATTGACTGGCATAGTTTACAAGATACGCGCCAAAATAGTAATCAATGCAACTGGCCCTTTGAGTGATTCGATAATTCGGCTCGAAGATGCCAATGCGTCGCAGCAGTGCACTCCCACGTGGGCCTCGCACATTGTGCTTCCGCCCTTCTACTGCCCCGAAGAGGTGGGTCTTTTCGATCCTTATACAGATAACGGTTCGACAATATTCTTTTTACCCTGGCTGGGGCATACGATAATGGGCACCTCGGACGAAGCACATGAGGTGGTCGAGGGACCACATCCAACAGAACGGGAAGTTCAGTATCTTTTAAATAGTATCAGAAGCTATATTAATCCGAATTTTGATGTGCGCCGGTGCGACGTGCTGGCAGCTTGGGGTGGCTATAAGCCGCTGCCCACTCGGTCAACTGAGTTGGCTCATTCGACCCTGAGGAACCATGTCATTTCTCTGGGGCCAGGTAACATGGTGTCTATAGTGGGCGGCACATGGACTTCTTTTCGGCTGATTGCCGAGAAGGCAATAGACGCCGCCATTAAGAATGGCGGCCTACAGCCGTTACGAGGCCATTCGATTACAGCGACCTCTTGCAAGCTGGACGGCGCCATTGGTTGGACACCTAACATGTTTATACGTCTAGTGCAGGACTTCGGCTTGGAGCGTGATGTGGCGAAACATTTGTCTGATACGTACGGATCGAATGCGTTCAAGGTGGCCGTTGGTGCCAACTCCAGTGGCGGCCTGTGGCCCATCATAGGTAAACGTCTGCACTCCGACTTTCCCTACATTGAGGCTGAGGTACGGCAGGGTGTTAAGGACTATGCCTGCACGCTGGTAGACATGGTGGCACGTCGACTACGTGTTGCCTTTCTCAATGTCCAGGCGGCCGAGGATATATTGCCCCGCGTGGCCGCCGAAATGGCGCGCGAACTGAAGTGGAGTAGATCGCGGAAATTGAGGGAAATCAAAGAAGCGCGGCAGTTTTTAAACACTCAGATGGGTCTCTCGCCCGAATTTGACCCACTTCATATGAGCATACCGATTAAGTTGTCAGTGTGTCAGGTGCAAAAGTATGCCGAGTATTTTAGAAACCTGGATGAAACCAACACCGGTTTTGTGTCGATTAACAAATGCTGCGCAGCTATGAAGTCGTTCGGCGTCAAGGAGGTACCGGTTGACCTAATGCACGACGTGCTGCGGGACATTGACTGTCACGCTCAGGGTAAAGTGAATCTCTACGAATTTCTCATGCTTATGTCAGCCATCGTGCACGGTGACACGGCATATTTACGTTATGCCAAAATGCATTTGGACCAAACAGTCTCGACAATAAACCGCAAACGGCGCCTGAAAAGTGATAGTCACGTCGAGCGAGCTGGAGGTGGCTTGTGAAGATAGAACCGCCCTGTGCAAACTCTGTGTATATTCATGAAACTGTATTCTCTTATACTTTTTTTATTAACAGCAATGCTACCATATCGTCGTAATCTAAATTTAGCAGTGCTGCCACACTTCATTCCGACAGATCGTTGGCGTTCAAAATTAGAACGCATAGCAACTATAAATCATAAAAATGAAAAAATGAGTTTGATTTTTATTTCAGTTGGATATCGACGCATTTTGCGCTATTTTCTTTAGACTTTGTAATCATTTAACAATTGTTTTCTATATTCTTTTAGCAAAACTCGTTTATGCCCTATGGAGCTTGTATATATAGTTATGTATTTGTAACATTTGAATATAAATATATAAGTATATATATATATTTTTTGCAACAATGACGACAGCATACTAACAGGGTGTTTCAATACAATTAATTTTGTGTGTGCAATATTGCCAGGTAAAACATCTAAGGGCTCTTTTAGTTTTTGTAATTTTATGTATTTATGTGCTATAAATATATTCAAAGCGTGAACAAAATCGAAGTATAAACTATAATAAATAATCAATAAGTGAACGAGTGAATAAGGAAAATTGTTTAAAGTAGTTATGACAAAATTATAAATAATCATTGTGGCGGTATAGTTTATACATTTATATATTTAAATATATATCCTGAAATATATGTATAAATGTGCATTGTATACATTAGAAATACACTTAGTTGACATGGATTTTTTGAAGTGCACACTTTAACTCTGGGGTAAGGTTGGCTAAATACCAGTAAATATTAGCAGCTAAACTTTGACCTGAGCTGAGAGACATGTTTATAGTATAAATATGTCGAAAACGTCTATATATAAGTGAAAGAAATCGAAATAACAAACTTCGCAACGTTTACGTTTGTTGCAACTGTCAGAGTAGAAGTTTAAATAAGCAATGATGTTTCCTATGTGCACTGGGCATGATAAGTTTTTGTTGTATCGTTCTTTGTTATCTAAGCAACAGCATCTGTGGCGCATTCCTCGTCGACGGTAATGTACATGCCCTCCTCTTCGTAAGCAGAGTCGTGCTTAGCCAGGATTCTCAACAGTGGACGCAGGCGTAGCCACCACTGCTTCTTCGGGATGCGTTGACTGTGAGAAATGGGAAGATATTTAAATCAGATCGAATCGAATTTATAGTGGCATTATTTTCGTGGCACTCACTCAAAGTTGGTGTCGCCAATGAGATCGACCAAGGGCGTGAATCGATACTGTCGGGATACAATGCCCAGCAGGGTTGCTGTGTCGGTCGATTTGCAGTTAACGACACCGTTGCTATCCATGTTTTCCTTGATTTGCTTTGCCAGCCAGTCGACGCACTTGGCGGCCATTTTGGTGCCCATGTTGCGATCGAATGGACTGGGTGAGCCGCCCTGTTGCATGTGACCCAAAATGTTCATGCGGCAAGTGAACAGACCCTTGCCCTCCTCCGAGTACAGTCGATAGATGAAGTCAGTGGTATAGTTCTCACTGGCCTTCTCGTTGCGCAAGATCAGGCCGCGAGAGACACCCTCTGCCATTTTGGATGCCATGTGATAGACGTCCTGCTGCAGGTCCTTGATGGAGAACTTCTCCTCAAATATATATGCGGCATCGGCGCCACCGGCCAGGCCAGCCAACGTGGCCAAATAGCCGCTATAGCCACCCATTGTCTCGATGACAAACACTCGACGCTTGGTGCCCTGGGCCGATTGACGAATGCGGTCGCATATTTCGGTGATCTCGTTCAAGCCGGTGTCGCAGCCGAGCGAGAATTCAGTGCCGGGCACATTGTTCGAAATGGTCGCAGGCACAACCACAATGGGTATGCAAAACTCTGGATAATTTTCACGCTGATCGGAGATTTGCCCAGCGGCGTGATAACTCTCAAATCCGCCAATGATCAGCAGACCCTGAATCTTGAACTCCTTAAGACGAGCAGCGATCTCCTTGAACTTGCCCTCGGGCAGAGTGCGCTTGGTGCCTAGATAAGCACCACCTTGACCCACCCAGCCAGATACATCAGACCTGTGGCAAAGTCGAGTGTGTTAGATGTGCAGCTCCAAATGATCATAACCATATCGTATCACACTCACCAGCCCAGCTCGCGCACATTGCCAGCAATGAGACCCTCAACGCCGTCGTTGATGCCGTAGACAACATCGCCGCGATAAATGGCGTTACGCACAAAGCTGCGCACAGCCGCATTCATGCCGCAAGCCGGCGCTCCAATGTGCATCACGGCCAGCCTATAGCCCTCGATGCCCTTGCCCTGCTCATCGAAGTTCTCCTTTGGTGGCTTCAAGCGAGTCAACATCTTGTAGGTCTCCAGATTGCGTTCAAAGGAACGACCGCGCAGCTTGACAGCATCGGCCCAGCGATGCTCCTTCATGGCCTTGGCCACGGCTTGGGTGCGCTCCACGCACTCCATAAGTGGCACGCGAACCGTTTGGTTGCCATCCAACGAGATGACCACTGGCACTGAGTCCGGCGTGGCCTCCATTAAAGCCAAAGTGGCCTCGGCACCCATTCGGCAGGCCTGTTAAATCATGAGAAATGATCGATAATCGATAATCGATATATATCGGTTATATGTAGCAATATGATTTATCTTCTCTTACCAGGACACGATCGAAGGCGCTGGGGTTACCGCCACGCTGCACGTGGCCCAGCACAGTGATGCGAGCATCGTGCTTGAGACGCGCATCGATCACCTTGCGCACATCTTCAGCGGAAATGGGATTGCCCTCGCGATCGCATGCGCCCTCGGCCACAATCACAATGTTCAGGCGCTGACCAGCGGAACGCTCCTGTTTGACAATGAAAGCGATAACCGTTAGACGGACCACCTCTCTACGCGAGTCTCAAACAACGATTTGGTTAGTAACTTGTGTGGATACATAGAAGCAATAAATAACTTCAAAATATACAAAGTGCTACAAAAATTAATTATAGAAGATATTTACTGAGTGATGATGATATATATGTATATATATATATATATATATATATATAAAATATATATATATGTAAATATGTCTTATGTGTAAATAGGTAAAAAAGACGACAAATATGAGGTTATCAACCAGATGTAACTATGAATAAATACAGGTGAGAAAGACAGAGAGTATGTATGGATGTGTGTGTGTGTGTGTGTTTTTCTTTGTATAGCTTAAACGATGAGTGTGAGAAGAAAACAGCAACTGAATATAAGAAGAATAACAAATAAGCAAATTATATAGATATTTACTAATTAAGCTAAGGTACAACAAAATAAACTAAAAACGAAGACGTAATAAAAGCCAATTAAATTGCCCAGCAAAAAGTAGTTGTGTGTGTGTGTGTGAGTGTGTGTGTGTGGCTGCACACTTAACCCAATAAAAACCAATTCAATAGCCAATCAGTTAGTATTTTCTAGAACCAGTTTTGGACAAAAAGCTGCTGCTCTTTGCACATCTTTTAGAAATGTTAAAAAGAGTTTGAAATTAAAGTTTTCTTTTTTTAAATATCTATATTTACAATTTGAATAATTTAGTAGTAAACGCAAAAAACACCATCGCACAGTATTAAAGAATGGAATGAAAAGGGAAAACCTTTATAGAGTTCGCTGACCTGAGCTAGCTTTGTGCACAGAGCATCCTGCCAGTTAACTGGTACGGGCTCTTCGGGTATGAACATAAAATCAGCTTCTGTGGCAATAGCGGCTGAAATTGCCAAATAGCTAAAAACGAGAGTAAATCAAACACGCCGAGGAGAAGACACGTTGTACAGGTGAGTGAATTGTTAATTGATATTTGATTAATTACAATATGCTTAAGATAAGACGTAAGGTAGGTGGTAGCTAGGGCTTATCATACATCCAGTTTTGGCAATCGTCGTCGAATATAAAATAATTGAAACTCATTTCAGATAAGCAAAAATATATACAAAACTCAAAACTCAAAACTGATGCATGATATGTTTTTCTATATGTATATATATATCTGACTAATGCCTGCTAGCAAGTGTGTGTGTGTCTGTGTCTGTGTGTGTGTTGGTTGGTGGGTGTTTGGGTTGTCGCGTGTGTGTAAAATGCAATGTTTTGCTGCTGTTGTGTCTTGCAACAACGAAAAGCAGATGATTCGCGAGATAAAGAGATAGAGAGAGAGAGAGAGAGCAAACACACTGTGAAAAATATTGCGTTTGTCTTTTGTTTTTTGTTTTTTTTTTTTGTTTTTGTTTTTGTTTTTAATAAAATATATATAGGTTCACTTCTTGCCTGGGCCAATAGATCGCAAAGCCTATCTGGCCAATCGACTTTCGGCGGCATTTCTGGTATAAATATGAAATCGGCCTCGCAGGCCAGGCCACCAACGAGCGCTAAGTAACTGTAAAAATATATGTGTTGTATTATTTGGTTATACATAAATACATACATATATACAATATATACTATATACTACACTATATAGCATATACAAATGGGAAAAAGGTCAACAAAAGGTGAAGGGGCGCGATCTGAGAGCACATAAGGAAATGTCAAAGAGCTAAAGATATTCCTTGCTGAGATATCAGACTTGACAACATCTCTTTCGACTACTACAACTATATGTAGACCTACTGTAATATCAACTTATATATATAAATGAATTCATCAGTTGCCTGTGTCTTGATTTGTTGTTTTCACATTTACATTTATGGTGCGTAAACATTGAATGCTTGAACACAGATCGATTTGGGTCAGAGAGGGAGATATATATAGGGATATATGTGGAGACATTCAACGATCGCGAGCTGATTGCTTGCCTGGTCCAGCTTGAGGGTCAGTCTGTCGGGCCAATCTTGTGGGGGCGGGTACTCGGGGAGAAAGACATAGTCTGCCTCGGATATAACTCCAGCTACAACTGGCAAATAACTATAAGTATTGAAGGCATTTAGCATTTGATGTCAAATATTTGGCGGAGCTAACAATTTGTATGTCAGTAGTTACGCATCACAGGCAGCCTAGCTATGACAATAACGGTAAACCGATAACAAATAGCTTACCCACAATGACGACCCATGACCTCCATGATGAAGGTGCGCTGATGTGAGTAGGCAGTGCTGGCAATGGCATCGATTGCCTCAATGATGCGATGCAACGCCGTGTCCGTGCCAATGGTCATGTCCGTGCCACAGAAGTCGTTATCAATCGAGCCCACCTGGCCAGGTAAAGAGGGCGTGAGTGGAGAGAGTGCTAGGCAGCTAGATGATTGAGTTCCTGTGACTTACCAATCCAACAATGTGCAGAACGTTGTACTTGTTCTTCTGCTCGCTGGTTATGGTGTTATTCTTCTCCAGCTCATCCAGCAGGCTGGACCACTCCTGACGGAACAAATTGGCGCCAGTGAGCGAGCCATCACCGCCAATCACCACCAGGTTGGTAATGCCACGTTGCACCAAGTTATTGGCAGCCTTCAGGCGTCCAGCACGCTCACGGAAATCCTGGCAACGGGCTGAGCCAATAATGGTGCCGCCACGGTGTATGATCGACGATACCGATGCCCAAGTCGCTTCCTGAATGCAATCGCCGCCATCCACCATGCCCTGATAGCCTTCACGAATGAAGTACGCCTAACGCCAAGGATTATTGAAATACAAAGAACAACAATAAATTAATATACCTAATAAATATATAATACTTCTGAAACAAAATATCAATAACGACATTTCAAGTTTCATGTGACTTTGTTCGGTCAAAACTGTTTCAAAATTGTAATTTTTCTTGCATAATTCTGCCTGAAACTGGATAGTGGAGTTTTCAGCATACATTAAAATTATGTTAAAATCGAATATTGTATACTCTTAATATATTTATAAATATTTATAAAACATAAATATTTGTAAATTTTAATGTAATTTAACCTTTATATATTTTAAATTAAGAAAATATTTATATATCACAAAAAAATAATTATAGTATACAAAATTAAATACACAAATTATAAATTAAAATACATATTTAAACAAATTTAAAATTTTAAATCGAAAAGAATAATAAAATCTATATATCTTTTTTATTAATAAATTTAATTAAATATATAATACACAATATATTTGTATATTTAAAATAATCTTAAGTTTTTTTTATTAATTTATAATTGATATATTTTAAAGGTCTAAAATAATGTTAAGTGTTTAATATTTTTTATAGCTTTTTTTTAATAAATTAAATTAAAAATTATATATTTTTAATATATTTTCGTAAATGAAATAAGGAAAACCTAGTCATTTTTAAAATTTTTTTTTATCAACATCCGTTTTATTAATCAAAAGAGTTAAACTAAGCATGGCATCTTTTCCAAATACATAAATAGTTTCATATTGTATGCACTTTAGAACTTATCAGGATTAATACATGATAAAGCTGTTTAAAAATAGGTGAATGATTTAATCGAGATTAGTGAAGAATATGATGCCATCATGTGAACAAAGAATAAGAGATTATCTACTATCGATTCAATTTGCTTCAGCTTTTAATTAAAAGAAAATTGCTGCTTGACTTGGGTTTTATATAATGTACCTAGATATAGTCATAATTTCTAAGCACCTCAAGCCAAATAATCGCGCATAAAAATCAAAAGTGAATAAATGAAAATGAAAGTGACTTTGAACGAAACACAAAAAAAAGAAACATCAGCCTTGCGACATTTTATTCATTGCAAAAATCATCATCATCATCACTATCATCATCGTTGAATTTCGAATAATTTATTTCAATTGCAATTATTTGAAATTTCAACTCTTTTGCCCTCACAGAGTGTGATCACAATTTGCCATATTCGCCCCAATCAGCAAATTCACACAGTCGATCAATAAAACCAATAAGCAAATAGTAATTCACTTTTCAAACAATAACCGAATTTTCTCAGATATATCTGCGTGATCGTCTGTAAGTTGCCCGAAAATAAACTCAATGTCAAACGCACACAAACACGATTTTGCCTGTGTGTTGGTGTGTTGGTATCGTCTATGTATTGGTGCTATGAATGTAGTGTGAGGCGCTTTTATTTGAATATGCTTTTGTTTTCCCCCTTGGGTTATCTAACGGCAATTGACACCACCTGCAGAACAAGCTAATTTGTTTTATTTCTATCATCTTTATGATTTAATTGCAAGTTCAGCTAAATATACATCAATTTGCTACATATATATACATATATATGCATAGCAGACTCTCTAGACCATAAAGTTCAATGGCTGAACTTGTTCCGGTAACCGATAAGAACATTTTTGTGAACAATATATGTGTGTGTGTGTGTGTGTGTGTGTGTGCGTCTGTTTCCAAATTATATATACCAATGCAAAAGCACTTGGCAGAGGTCAAACTCACCTTGCATCCCACGTAGATGGCCATACGCACACAAGCCCTTACAGCCGCATTCATGCCCTGGGAGTCGCCACCGCTGGTGAAGACGGCCAAGCCCTTGTCGCGCTGAGAGCCGCGTGCCAGGAAACGTTGATTAGTCTCACTATTCATATTTGGCTAAGCACTTCTTTATTCAAAGTTAAACAAGTTAATCGATTCAAAAAAACAACGGCAACGCACACACACACACACGCAGGGTGAGAGAGTGAGAGTGAGAGTGATACTGACACGGACGCACGTATCGAAGTTTAAGTTGGATGCACCCAACGGCGAATATTTTGTGAATGATTCACAGCGAAACTGGAGGAGCTTTGAGGAAGCCGAGTTGTCCAATTGAACTGCGCAAATCTTATGCTGCCCGCAGATGCCGTGGCTATGTGCCTGCGAGACGATTTTCACAAACTGGGCGCGAGAGCGGCGGTCGAGCGCAGAAGTTTCGGTTTTGACGTTTCAAGGTGACCTTTAAACGCAGCAAACGCTTTGCGTTAAGCGCAACTACACGGCAGACTGATGCAATGAACTGGTTGTCTGGCGTTTTTATAGCGCTACAGCGTAATGTATTTTGATTATCTACACTCTGCGCGATTTTTGATAGTATGTTTCATTAATGCAACAAACAGTAACGGTAATGCGGCCAAGATTCTGCTATCAATTTGTCACTATTGTGGGCGAAAATGGGCGATTACCCTATTGGACTTATTTTGTTTACCCCACACATACACAGCGAGTGTCATGTTGACAGCTGAGCAACAGCTGTGCGTACATGGTCAGACAAAAGCTCTATCACACCAGCGAGCTTCTGTATGGCGAATTCAGTAGCTTTTCACCACACCTACGTGAGGTGTAGAGCCGTTAGCTATTTAAACGTTACGCGTTTGCATTTAATTAAGATTCTATTACTCACATATTTACGCTTAAATTTTGGATAGTTAGCAAGCTTTACACCTGCTGGTTTACCATAACCTCTTTCGTCAACAGTACAGATTCATTATCATCGTAGCCCATAAAACGCACACCGCCTTTTTTTACTGCTGGGTGTTTTAGCTTGGGTCCACCCAGTTGTTGATTCCTCCACACATAAGCTTCCACCATAAGACTTGAAACGGATTAAATGCAGCTGACCACCTGTATCTTGCAATCGGACTTACTTATTAAAAAATATTGAATTCAGTATGAAGCCTCGAGTCAATATTTCATTCATATTCTGTTTTACGTAGAAATACAACTTTTTCGATGGATCTTCACAGTGTTTCCATTTGCATTACCAATTTAAAAACATGCTAATTTATCAGAACAGACAGCTTGACCACGACACAGATGCTTTTTATGCTGCAAAGCACTTATTAGGAAAATATTTATATTGGAAATTCCACATTGAACTCACTTCAACAACTTGAGCACTCTTTAATTGTAATTCGGAGTGGAACGGCTCGGAAATGTGCAATTTGCTGGGACAGTGTTGGCTCGTAGGCAATACCTGCTCTGTTTCCATTAGGCTATGGGCGATTGCTTACAATTTTGACCATTATGCATTAGCTCGTACATACCGGGTTGATAATTTTGAAAATACTCGAAATTTTAATGCATGCATATCAGTTACTAAAGGTAGAAATACATAAAATACATACTCAATTTTGACTACGTTTTGAGACAAATAATAATTTAAAATTATACGACAACTGTCGAATCAATTTAAAGACTAGCTTACTCGGTTACACTTACAAGGATTAATTTCAACTGATATTTTAAAACTATATGAAATTCTGATTTAATGATATATATGTTATTTGTTTTAATTTGATTTATTTGATTAATTTGAAAATTCAACAAGCGGCTAATTCCTAACCACATAATTTAGATTTTAGGAAAAAATAATATAAAGCAGCTCGTTGAAATCAGAGCCGATTAAGACCGAGTTGGTCTATCGACTTCAATTAGCTTAAAAAAAAATACAAATTAAAATATTTTCTTTAACAAAGCGATTCTCCTTTCGCTAGAAAGATAATCCAGACGCGATATTTCCAGCATTCCCGTTGGGTGTTTGTCTGTCGTACCTACATATATACTTATCGTATGTTGAAGGTGTCGCATCACAGCATTTGCCCACAGAGGAGTGGATGGCATGAAAATCGCAGAGAAAGGCGAAATCCTTAATTTAGATTTGTAATTGCGATGAGGCGTTCAGTTGGCAATCGGATGACGTCGCCTTGTGCTTCAGTTTCTTCAGATAAAGTACATATTTTATCAGTGGCGCTTTGAATTTAGCTCTCTTTATCATCTTCATGTTCAGCAGCAACGGCTTCTTATTCGTCTCTACATTCGTCTCCCCAATCGTCACCATCTCCTTAATTATTTCCTTCACCTGATCCGTCTCCTTCTCCTTAATCCTTTCCTTCACCCGACCCGTCTCCTTCTTCACTTCCGACACCCAATTAATGTCCTTGTCCGTCTTCCCATCCCTCTCCAGAGCCACCTCCTTCTCCTTTTTTCTTTCCCACATTCGATCCATCTCCTTGTCGTTCCTCACCCTCACCCTCACCCGATCCGCCTCCTTCATTTCAAATAGCTGATCCGTCTTTTTCTTCATTCCCGATCCGTCTCCTTGTCCTTCTTCCCTTTCTTTTTCTGAGTTGTTTCCTTCACCTTTAAAGCGAATCCAATGTCTGTTCGAAATTTCTCTTTTTTCGGCATCCATATATTGTCGTATATCATTTGCAGTACGATCGAAACCCAAACTTCTAGTGATGTGCATAAGTCTCTGTATATTTGGGCTTTAGCCATACAAAATTAGGAATCAATATCTATAAATGGATATATGAAAGATAATATTGCTTACGTTTTGATAGAAACTAAGCTCATATCACAGAAATCATCACGCACGCTATCGGCTGCATACATAATAGTCAACACCTCAGCTGTATTGTCGCACAGGTAGCGATAATACAAATTGATATTGTCCTTCATTAGGATCTTTAGGTAATCATACTTCATACCCAGATTTACACAGTTGCCCATTTTGTTTTTGAAGCCTTGCAATTTGTCAATATCGGTGCGACGACTGAAAAGGATCCACTTGAGCTCCGGGGAACTATCGGCAGCTATTCTGCCTCTGCTGGAAAATCGACATGCGGGTAGAAAATTCACCAAGGGAATCCCATTGTCAATGTGCCTGCTGACGACATGTGAGATATTTTTTTCGTTGGAAATATAATTGCTGCATTACCAAGCTATGCGATTGGTCAATACTTGAAAATTTACATTTATGCATTCCTAAAAAGTCACAAGAATTTTCGTTACAGGTCTGAAAATATAAGGCATACTTTTTTAGGAATCAATAAAAATTTCGTTTTCATTTCATGATCCGAAAGTTGTGCTGGCATGAATAGATTGTCTAAGTGAACCAGTCTATAAAACTAATTGAATGCAGATAATGCATAGATTGCTAAAACTTATCTTATCATACTTACAAACAAGTTTACAAACCAGTTAGAGTACAAATTTCCATTTTCATTTAAACTCGCAACTCAAAATTTTAGCTTCAAAAATCATTTGGCTTGAGAAATAGTTATTTTAATCTTTCTTATGATCAATTTGAATCTGAAACTAGAATGGCTCTGTTATGTTAGATAGCATTAATATAGCTAGCTCTTTTGCTTAATATTTCTTTCTCTTTCTGTTCTTTAATACCATTTCACATGGTCCAGGCTAAGCATCTTGTATGCTAACTGTCCACCGTTACTGCAAATAGTACTTCTAGCCTACCAAAGAAAGCTTTATCTTAATATGTTCAATATCTTTTCAATGTAAAAACAGTCAGTTATCAATACCTTAATACCCCTCAAAAATTCTTTTACACAATGACTTGTTTTTTTTGTATTTTTATTTTTTTTGTTTTTTTTTTTTTTGGTAATTAAGAAACTGTAATTTCAATAAACTTAAATTTTCACATCAATCTTTGCCTCCACACACACATACAATTAATGTGTGCTCAATGTTGTTGTTGTTCAACACATTTTGTATGTTTGTTTTTTGTTCTGTTTTTCTTTTAATGTATGTGTATTATGTATTTGCAGTTTCCATTTTGGTTATTCGACTCGATTTTATTATGTATATTGTAAGCGTAAATTCAATTGCGAAAATATACAGTTATACAGTTTTTATACACATCTGCATAGATAATTTTAATTTCCTGGCGACTGGCGTTTGTTCTTGTTGCTGTTGTTGTCGCCATCTTGGATTAAAATTGCATCTACTCAGCTTTTAAAATAAGTATTTTCTGTTTTATTTGTATTTTGTATTTTGATTAGTTATCAATTTCCTGTTGTTTTGCAATTAAATGCCCTGATAAACCAAACTTAATATCAACAATAAAGCAGAATGTTGAATTAGTTGAGTTTAGCAACAATTGGCATCGTTCGAAAAATAAAATTAGCTTTCAATTTCGATTTAGTTTTTCTTTTGTTATATACTTGCTTCACACACCTGTTTTTTTTTTTAATTTTTCTCATTTTGTTCTTGGACTGGGGGTTTACATTTAAACACATAGATGATAATAAAAATATAAAAAGTAAACACTGAGACATTTAGTTATAACAATTGCACATTGATAATGTTATTGCTGTTGCTTTTGCTTTTGCATAATTGCATATAGTAAGTATATATGTATATGTGAGTACGTTATAAATAGTTATCGCATCGATCGTACGATTAATTTTGATACTTGTTCCAGGATGGCGAATCACTGGTTCATTTAATCTTCAAATCCGATTAACCGATTGATTTACATACGAGGAGAAAGAAAAAAGAATTCTTCAAACAGGCACAATAGAACTCATGCCTTCTAAGCTATCCGCGCAACGGAACAAGTTATTTGCACTGATTTAGAGTGAATATCTATATCTGTGTATGTTAATCACAACTTTCTTGACTGCACAACTAAATAACCATTTATTAATTTGACAACAATTTAGCACACAGTTTACTCTTCTTTGTTTTATTGATAGCTGCATTATAAATGCAACACTGTGTGTGTGTGTGTGGGAGACAGAGAAAGTAAAGAACAAAATCCAAGAGAACATAAATTGGTTGAAAATAAAGTTTAGGTTTATGTTTTTATTTGTTGTATTTTAGAAAAAAAGATAATTACAAATAATACATAATTTGTTTCTTTTGGTTCGCATGGGCTTCTTCTTTGACGACGAAAAATAATGGGCATTATTTGTAATTACATTATTTATATTGTATAAACCAATTAGCCTTTCTTTATTATTGTTTTTTTTTATTAAGGAAAGCGGCGCAGCGCATTAACAAAAATAAAAGACATAAATTTGTTGTTGACTGTGTCTTGTGTACTGTTTGTTTG